CGCCGACCCCGCGGCCGGGGAGCGCCGGCGCGGGCGCGTCGCCGCCGGCCAGGACCAGGCTCGAGCCGAGGGTGTTGGTCGCCGTCAGGAAGCTGACGGGGCAGACGCCGCCGCCCGCGCCGCCCGCGCAGTCGAGCAGGGCGCCCACGAGGGCGTCGTACTGCGCCGGGTGCGTGTACGGCGGCGTCTTGAGGCCGAACGGGATGCGCGGGAGCGGCGGCGACGTGGCTTCCCCGGCGGCGGCGGCGGCGACCACGGCGGCGAGGTAGGAGCGCAGGGCGGCGGCGTCGTAGGCCGGCGGCGGGCTGCCGGGGATGTTGGGGCAGGAGAGGTTCAGCTCGACGGCGAGTGGGGGGCCCGGGTCTCGCCGCCGCCGGGCCTCCTCCTCCTCGGCGGCGACGAGGCGGTAGCACCGGGCGACCTCCTCCGCGGAGCCCGTGACGGAGACGATGAACGTCTTGCCCGGGGCGCGGGGCACGTCCGGGTCCGCCGCGATGGCCCTGATGAAGGAGAGGTAGGTCTGCAGGACGTGCGGGCTGTAGCCCAGGGTGTTGAGGCTGGCGTTGGCGGTGCCGGTGCCGCTGGGCCGTGGCCGGGAGGAGGAGGATGAGGAGGAGGCGACGACCTTGTGGGTGGCGGCGTCGAAGAGGGCGTATTGGTGTACGGAGTCATCGTGGGGGAAGCCCCGGATGAGAGAGGTGCGGGTCGTGACTGCGCCTGTGTGCGGGCAGGCGTAGAGACGCTTGAGGTCCTCGAGGTCTGTGGCCCAGGGACATGCCGAGTTGAGGAGGGGCGGGTCGATCTCGAGAGGTGGGGGGAGAGACGGTGCCATGGCTGGGTTGTCTAAAAGACCACACGAGATTCAGTGGCCCGTAGGTATTGACTTTTACTCCATTGATGAACCCCGCGAGAGAATAATAATGAAGCAGTGAGGAGTTCTTATCACGAGAAGTTGGTTTGTTTGATGTCGAGTGTGGGGAAGGACTTTGTGGAGAAAGATAAGAGTCTTCCCCGCAAAGCTTGAGTACAATTCATATCACATCTTTGGCTTGAGTTGTATTACGGTGAGGAGTTCATATGAAACAGGGCAAATTGTATCTTTTGGACCTGGGTGAGAATCTTGAAAAAAAAAGAGTATTGATCTCTTCAATGTACTTGTTCGTATCTCAGTGGTAATTTACCTGAGAAAAGCACTATGGCATTGTTTTATCAAGACTCATGAGTCAAAACACTTTGATGTTTCTGTCAATATCACGCAGCGCCCCTGAGGTCCTTCAACGCCAAACCGCTCACTCAAAACAAGTCATCAATAGCCTTATCGGCATCCTTCTTGATCAGCTCGACCATGCCCTGGTTTCTGTTAGCATGTGTATCTCTACCATCGAGACGATCCAACTCACCTCAGGCATGATTGGCTTTCCGTCGTCGCCCTTCACGTAACGGAAGGGCATCTGCGTGCTCTCGTGCTCGTTGAACTTGAGGTCAGGATGGTCGAGATATTGTATCTTGTCGACAGGAACTGCTTTCTGTCAGCTGAAGTCCACTGTCTGCTGGCTTGACAAGACGTACTCTTGCCCTCGACTACTATCCTCGTGACACGGACGGCAGTGTCTGTCGTCATCTGCACGGGACCTAGCCTCCTTCCCTCGAAGCCCTTCTTCCGCAGTTCGGAAGTGCGGTCTAACAGAGACATTAGCGAGCTACATCTCCCCATAGCACATACCGGTCCATACCTCTGGGAGGATCATCGCCTGCGGGACACTATCAGCTTCTGGCACACACACATCCAAGATCGGTGCAAGCAGGCTCACCGAGAATGCCACCAAACAGAAAAGCATCAAAGGTCTCGCCGTCTTCGGGCGAGAGATCCTTGGCCGCCGAAGGGTCCAGCAGGCAGACTCTCGACTTGTCTTGCGCATAGATCTCTTCCACACCCCGGTTCTCGGCCACGAAGGCAGGGACGCTCTGCAAAGTCTCGGGCACTTTGAAGCCGGCCGGCAGAGAAGACAGGCAGAACTTGGCGCCGGCCTGGTGAGACTCGTTGGCGATGGCAATGTACTCGAGCTCGGACCACGGGCCCAGCTCCGGGTCGAGGTGCTCGACGATGTAGGTCTTGGCAGTCGACATCTTTATGTCTCAGAGATTGGCTTGAGGTGAGATACCTATGTGTGGTCCTTCTCTCCGGTACCGGTTCCGTAGAGATACATGAATGTTGCGATATGCCGTTCTGAGTTGTCGGGCTCTTTGATCGAATTTTCATGTGGAGTTTTTTTTGGGCCAGCTCCGGCCGACAGAACTGGAGGAGGCGGCAGCGAGTCGCCCGGCCGGACATCGCCCCCCACCGGTTGTAGATCTCTTACTTAGTACCCTTCTGCATCCTAAAAATACATTACACACAACCCGTGCAGATCTGGATTGATCTCACCAGTGTTTGCGACTGGATCTACAAGTAGAACAAGGGCTTCTTTTCGGGAATAATCGAAAAGGTACAGGAAGAGAAAAGGTGTCATCATTCAAGCAATCATTCATCTCAGCCTCTGCTTATCAGCTCCTCCGAGAAGGCGGCGTTAAGTCCTGCTTGACGGGGCTTAGTCCAGCTGTCGTCGACCTTCCGCATCTGGGTCTGAATAACGTTAGAGGCATGTGCAGTAAGCATAGCCAACCAACCCTGCAACGATCGCCCATGTTTGCTCAATCCATTGTCTGGAAAGGGAGCTACGGATGAACTAGCCATGAGGCCTCACCAAAGATACCGCAACCGATAGCCATCTCGCGGGCGAGGTTGTCCTGTCGCTGAAACAGTTGATGTGTTTGATGTTCACAAGCTTTTGGACAAGATTTAGACCCTATTCGACCTAAACTCAGCGCTGGAATCGCCGGCGATCCCCTGCTAGAATGGGGCATTTCTACAAGTAACTACCCGCTGTAGTGCCCCTTGAGCTCCACAGGCTACCGCCAGATCCCGCCCTGACGGCCAAGAGTGGAGGCGGTTGGAGCAGCCTCGTCAGCTTTTTAAGGTTACGGAGTACGTGTGCGTGCGCACGAGCCAGCAAGGACACATCGCCTGCTAGTGCCGTGCGTGCGTGCGTGCTCCCTTGATCTGATCTAAGGCTAACTAACCGACCCTTTTCGAAACTTTGGCACGCCGTTTTTAGACATTCCCTCTCCCTCTCCTTAACTACATTCTCCGAGCTGGCGACGCGACCGACCATCCTTTTGACTGAGAGCGCGCCTTGCAACAAGGCGAGGTAGCCGAGTCTACCGGCTTTTGTCCATCCTTTGCTTTGGTCATTCATTCATCTTGAGACGAGAGGGAGACGACGACGACGTGATCCACCATCGCCACCAGGTCACGACTGCCATGACTTTGGCCGACTCGTTCGCCGCTGCCTTGGGGCCGCTGCGTCTTGCCCACGTCCTCGGCGCCGTCGCGCTGTCGTGGGCGGGCATGGCGAGGGCCCAAGACAAGACGGCCGGCGATTACTTTGTCCATTCGCTGCCGGGAGCACCGGAGGGCCCCCTGTTGAAGATGCATGCTGGGTAAGTGCAACTATGCACCTCTGCGCGTACATTTGCGAAGCAAGGACATGGGCACTGACTTATCGATTGGGTCCTATGCAGACACATCGAGGTAACCCCTGAACACAATGGCAACCTGTTCTTCTGGCACTTTCAGAACAAGCACATCGCCAACAAGCAGCGCACCGTCATCTGGCTCAATGGAGGCCCGGGCTGCAGTTCCGAAGATGGCGCGTTGATGGAGATTGGGCCTTATCGCCTCAAGGACGACCACACCCTCGTTTACAACGAAGGAGCCTGGAACGAGTTCGCCAACGTCATGTTCGTCGACAACCCCGTCGGCACCGGCTTCAGCTACGCCGACACCGACAGCTACCTGCACGAGCTGGACGAGATGGCCGACCAGTTCATCATCTTTTTGGAGAAGTGGTTCAGCCTCTTCCCGGAGTATGTACATGATGATGTAAGTCCTACAGACGCGTCAGCCAACCTGTACAGTACCGTTTTTGCTAACTTCAGAGTGCAGCTCTACCTTGCTGGCGAATCCTACGCCGGCCAACACATCCCCTATATCGCGAAGCACATCTTGGAACGAAACAAGAAGCAGGGCGCCAAGTACAAGTGGCAGCTCAAGGGCCTCCTCATCGGCAACGGCTGGATCTCGCCCCAAGACCAATATGGAGCCTACTTGGACTTTGCGTACAAGAAGGGTCTCATCGAGAAGGGAAGCGACACCTCGGGCAAGCTCGAGGTCTCGCGCCGCATCTGCTACAAGGATCTTTCGGCTGGCGGCGAGGTCATCGACGTCTCGTCCTGCGAAGGCATCCTCCAGGACCTCCTGAAGTTTACTACGACGACCAAGAGCGACGGAACGACCAAGGAGTGCTACAACATGTACGACGTCCGCCTGAAGGACGTCTTCCCCAGCTGCGGCATGAACTGGCCCCCAGACCTGACCTCGGTCACGCCGTACCTCCGCCGCAACGACGTCGTCCAGGCCCTGCACGTCAACCCCAACAAGAACACCGGCTGGACCGAGTGCAACGGCCTGGTCAGCTCGCAGTTCCGCGCCAAGAACTCCAAGCCGGCCATCGCCTTCCTGCCCGAGATCCTCTCCCAGGTGCCCGTGCTGCTCTTCTCGGGCGCCGAGGACCTCATCTGCAACCACCTGGGCACCGAGGCCCTCATCTCCAAGATGGAGTGGAACGGCGGCAAGGGCTTCGAGCTGACGCCCGGCAACTGGGCCCCGCGCCGCGAGTGGACCTTCGAGGGCGAGGACGCGGGCTTCTGGCAGGAGGCGCGCAACCTGACGTACGTGCTCTTCAACAACGCGTCGCACATGGTGCCCTTCGACTTCCCGCGGCGCTCGCGCGACATGCTCGACCGCTTCATGGGCGTCGACATCAGCAGCATCGGCGGCACGCCCATGGACTCGCGGCTCGACGGCGAGAAGGGCCCCGAGACGACGGTCGGCGGCGCCGCGGGCAACAGCTCGGCGGCGCAGCAGCAGGAGGAGAAGGCCCGGCTCGACGCGGCCAAGTGGGCCGCCTACCGGCGCAGCGGCGGGCTCGTGCTCGTCATCGTCGCCGCGCTGGCGGCCGTCTGGGCCTGGTTCGTCTGGAGGGGCCGGCGGCGGCGGGCGGGCTACCGCGGGCTCGCGGGCGGGGAGCCCGGCGGCGGCGGCGCGTCGGCGTCGTCGGTCGGGCTCGGGCTCGAGGGCTTCCGGAACAAGAGGGCGGCTGGCCGGGGTGGGAGGCGGGGAGGGGGTGACGACGTCGAGGCGGGCGACTTTGACGAGAGCGAGCTGGATGATCTGCACGTCGCCTCGCCTGCGGAGGATCATCACCCCCACCACCGGAAGCCGCAGCCCGAGGCGAGGTATGCTGTCGGCGGGGACAGCGAGGACGAGGACGATGTCATGGGTGCTGCTTCGAAGGAGGTTGGTAGCAGCAAGGCGAATGGCAGGTGACGAACGAGGTTTCCTCTCTAGGGTGGCAGGCTGAGGAGGGAAGGCATGCCCTACGGCCCATAGGGCGGACTCGTGTTGTCGTCTCTAAGTTATACATATATATATAGCACAGCACATTGGCGTTTAGGATTCTCTGGTTGTTGGGGGGGGTTTTACACAATATATTGCTTTGTTTATCCTAGGTTTACTTCAGAGTGGTGATTATTTGGTGGACCAGTCGAACGATAACGTCAGGTTGGAATCTGGGATATGGCGAGTGCATGGCTGGGACGAGAAGGAGGATGAGTCTACGGATCTAGCGGGCCGTGGGACGCCTGGCGACTATACTACGCGGAACCTATCTACGGAAGGCGAATCAGTGGCAGAAACGAGCTGTCTCGATCGCGGGGCTTGTGCCCACTTGGATGTTTTCTCTTGAGCAGCGAGACGGGTCTGTAGCAAAGAACCCCCGAGCCTATCCTCTCGATCCAGGACTCAAAAAGAGGAACTTGTCATTATGGATCGCGGGCCCACGAGTCCCGCCTCACAGTTTATCTGGAGGAAGCGATGGATTTTACAAGTAGGTAGAGGAACGAAGAAGGGTCGAGACCAGGTTGGGAGGGGGGGAAAGCTTTGAGCTCGGGAGGTACGTAGATAAGGGAGGAAGTCGGGGGACGGGGGGGTTCGGTCCTTCGAGAGCAACCCGCCGCTTTCGTGGGAGACGGCGGAAGAGCGGTACAGAAAGAAGCACGGATCTCTCCTGGCGTCGGAGGAGGCCGTCGAGGAGTGGAAGCTTTCTTCCCGGCACCGCGTCAAGGGGGTTATATATCGCGCGCGATGGAAGGTTCAAGAACGAGCGAACCAAGAAAGGCATCAGCAGGCGGAGCGGGGCTTGAGATACGGAGGAAGCCATTGCGTGCGCGTCGATGCGGCTCGTGTGCTTGGCTACCTAGCTAGCTCTGGAGCACGCCAGAATACTACCTAGGTAATCTGGCGTGGGTTTAACTAGCTGTGGCCGGGAGGATGCTATCGTGACCAGTGCCGGTGCACTGTGCTAGGTTCGATGATAGGGGGAGAGGAAAGCTTCGCGTCCGTCCGTCGTGACTCATGGGGAACTGAAGCGACGATGGGTATCTGGTCTTTTCTCCTCAACAAGATTGTGGGATTCGGATGATGGGAGAACGGGGTCCGTCACTCGCAACATACGTACGTCATTCCGAGCTGGCGTTTGATAACGAGCTGGCGTTTGATAACGGTGATAACCACCTAAGGAAGCTCATGGAGCTCTGGCACCGGTACTTGGAGCTACCAGAAGACCCTTATCGACAGGGGGGCCACTCTGGCAAAACATCCGATTTCGGGAGGCCAAAGCCACCGAGGCAGGCAGAAGAGTTGAGGCCAGCATGGCTTGTTTGTCGAAATCGCCAATCGGCTGCCTGTTCCTGAATCTCTGACAGGCCTTGGACGGTGAGTCAGAAACCGGGAGGAGCTTCGATTAGAGGGTCCAGAAAGGTTGTCCTCGTGAGCCTCAAGTGGGAACCGGCCAGCCAGCCCGCCTGGAGGCTCGTACAGCCATGTACGTACTTGCAAGCTAAGCTTGTATTCTAGTCGTATGGAACTGTCCGAAGCCGGCACTGCCGTCAATTAGAACTGTCAGGAGCTTGTCAGCAGGATGGAACATGCTCAATGTCACAATGTGCCATTCTGTTGGACACACTGCCGCAATGAGGCAGTTTCAACAACAGCAAGCACACAATGCGGGAGGTCTGGCCTGATGACCACCTGACTCGAATGATGGGGTCAATTGCTTGGTCTGGCGTCGCACCCGCGTGCTGCCAGCCGCAATCCCGGCTAGCGCCAGTCAGCCCATTACTGGCCTGACGGCCCAGATTACAGCGGGCAACCAACGTTCTGTGCAGCAGAGCTGGAGGGGGGATCAGGTAATTCCCGCGCATCCCAACCCCCTGCCACCTGTCAGGGACAACAGGGGGAGCTTTGAGCAAGCGAAGAGGCCGAATCGAGCTTTGCTTCCCGACCGATTCTGCTTGGTCAATTGGTGTTTTCCCAATCGACCCCCCCAGCTTGGAAGCTTCTCGAGCTCTCCCTCACGACTGCCGATTCAGGGACCACGCAGCTACGAACCAAGGCAAGGTATGTGGCGCTAACTCTGAGGAAGCCTAGCTTGCTCTGGGGGGGGCGGGATCGCCGGGCGTCATGCGGTACGGAGGTGGTTCTGCGCAGCAGCGTCAGGTACCCCGCATTCTGTCGCCCAGGCGCGGCCTCTGGAATGTACCAAGGACAAGGGTTCTTCTGTGCTCCTCTTCTGCGCCCGTTGTGGAGTCCACGTTGATGTCACCTGCATGACAGAGAGGAGCGGCCCAGTTTGTTATGATGTCGGTGAGTACAAGTCGAAGAAGCATGAAGGAGTGCACGGGGAGAACAAACATGGAAAAGCAATGGGTAAAGGAGGAGCAAGCAGAGCTGAAGACAAGCAGCGGGACAGCTCAAGTTTAGGTAGTGAGGGGTAAAAACAGGTCCAGAGCCAGCCAGCTTCGCCTGCTGAAAGACATCACCACAGTGCGTGCGTGAGATAGCGGGCGACGATCAACCTCACAAGTTGGCAGGCCGCGAGTCGCCAATCCCACTATGGATAAATCTAGGGGGTGTGTTTCTTCGACTTGGCAATTCCCAACAGACTTTCCCAATGTCCCCCAGTGACCAGAAGAGATAGCCGCGACACAGATGGGGACCAGACTTTCCTAGGCTGTGAGCTTGCGGAATGCCGTTGGTCGATTGGGTGAGCCATCACGTAAGTCGGCCCCGTTCCGTCGCAAGTCTTGTGGTCTTATGCCCATTGCGTCAGGTCACGCGACTGTTCTCTTGTTGCTTTCTCTGCACCCTGCACTCCCCCCTGATCCATCACAGTGCCTGCTGCCTTTCACCATTCCTCAATGGCCCCAGTTGACACCCCCAAGACGGATACCGTCTTTGACTGCTTCCGCACGGTGCCAGGTGAGGTCCAGTCCCAGTCCCACCCCCCGTCCATCGTTCGGATTGCCGGGGTCTTGCCCGTCTGGCTTTGGGTCTGCTGGGACGATTTCTCAGGGAATGGGCAGGGGGGTACATGAAGATACCAGCCAAGGACTGGACCTAGTCATCGCCTACCCGCCCAGCAACACCTCATCGTGTCGAAACTTATCGAATGCTTCTCATGTCTCAATTGGTATCCCCTGCCCATCCCATCGTCTCCTGGTTGGAGCTCCTGCTTTGTTTTAAAAGGGTCGCAGTTCCCCTCCCTCGACCATCCCTTTGAGCTTCCACTCTCCTGTAGAATTCAATCAATCGACCATCCTGTCTCGTAACAAAAGAGAACCAATTACCTCCAACTCATCCTTTATCCATCGTCTGCCTACCTCCTCTTCCATCTTCCAGCCTAGACTGAACTCTCATCTCTCTCTTCTCCTCGCATCTACTGCCACATCACATCAACACCTTTGAGCCAGACGACTTACACCCACACCACATCCTCGCCCTCGTGTAGACCATCTGTGCCACCTACACACGAACCAACGAATCTCTCTCTCCTCCATTTCTAACGTGTGAAAAGAGTGAGTCCAACCCCTTGCCCGGCAAATCAATTGCTTCCCGCTCGTCGAACGCGCTTGCAATCATGCCCAATCCTTCCCTCTTTCTCTTCTCTCCTGGCTCATCCATCCGCAACCCCGCCTCGAGGTGTGTCGTGACGCTAACCTTGCGCCAGCCCAAACTTAAACGGCCGCCCTGCAACACAATAGTCGAGTCGAAACCATCACTCAGACATAACACTCTGCTGCCTCTGAAATCCATCAAAACCCGTATTTTTGACTGAAATCTCCTTGCATCCCCAAATCCATCAACAGTAAGTCCAGCCATTGTTTGCCCAGTCCTGGCGGTTTGCATTACCCCTGGATCAGAGCAGTTTGGGCGGGGTGCTGACGCAACGGCCTGGCAGTGACCCGATCTCACAAGTTGAACGACCGCAACCACGCCGCTCTTGCCGACGGCACTGCTGGCCCCGAGGACCACATCCCCAAGTATTTCGCCAAACACGGCTTCACAGACGCTGATCCCAAGAAGATCAAGAAGAACGGTGGTGGAAAGGCCAACTGGTAAGCAAGCAGCCGTTCCCATTTCGTTTTCCTTGCGCAGATGAAGCACACTCCTCTCCTTCCTCTCCTCCCTCTCCTCCCTTTCCCTCCCTCCTTCCCTGCATCGCCGATAACCCAGCCCACTTCTCCGCATTTCTGTGTAAATCGGACCCACTTTTCCTTGGATCCCCTTTTCCCAACCCAAACTCTACAAGTACCACCCTCGCACTCCTCGTCATCCAACGAATCCACTCCCAGACCACAAACAGACCACCAAATAGCCACTAACACGAAGTGTCTCTCAACTCGCAGGGGTGAGCCTGGTGAGGAAGCCATCGATGAGGGCTTCAACTTCGCCAATGCCCGGCGCCGCTCCAACAGCAGCAGCCTGACCACTGACATCAACCACTTCAAGACCAAGTTCGAGGTCAACGAGCCCGAGCCCGTCTTCGAGGAGGAACTCCACGGTCCTGAGGACGAGGAGCTCAGCAAGACGGACACCTCGTCCAGCGGCTCCGTCGACGAGGACAAGCACCGCGCTTAGACGCGCGTGCGTCATCACTCTATTCGCACGACCATCATGAGAGAGGTACCATTTGCTCTTTTGAAGAGGTTCGCCTTGTTTTCATATCACACTTGTAACACTCTGTATTTTTGGGGGTTTCTACCGGCGGGACTACGGGACGACCTATCATCATGAATCGGAAACTATGAAATGACACATCTTTCGGCGGAGGGTTTATTTTATCGTCTTTTTTTATTTTCGCATCGCGACCTCTTTGTGTCTTGAGAGCATTGGCCTTCTTCATGCTGGCTTGGCTAAACATGGGACACCGAGAGCGGGAGTCCATGATCATTCATCAATCACATTGATGAAATCTGGGTGGAAAGGGCAACACCTGCTTGTATCATACACACAGTCTGATGATCGGGTTTATCACAACCAATAGATCCATCTTGCCCAAAGATAGATTTGCTGTCCAGTGACATGTGCTTTGTTCCTGTCATGAATTGGATATTACATTACGTTGTACAGAAGACGAGCCTGGCCAGGACTGATTTCATTTCACCTCACGGGTGACAAGATCCATAGCGAGCTCCCGGCCGCGCGACCTGAGCGACTTTACATCCTCGATGAACGCCTCGATCGCCTTGGCCGCCGGCTTCGTCTTGTCCCCTTCCACCCGGATCGCCTTGATCCTCAAGCACTCGCCCCCTGCCAGCTCGGCTACGCGCCCGTCCCGGACCGGCACAGCGAGCGGGACCAGCAGGCTGTCGTCGGCGCCGTCCTTGACCACAGGCAGCGCCACGGCCGTCTGCTCGCCGCCCGCTGCGCCCTCCTGCAGGAACGTCACGGCCTGCACGCCGCTATTATCATCTACTACTACTGGCGGCGGCGCACCTCCTCCTTCGAAGAAGAAGAGCGAGCGCAGCGGGCCGGCCGGGGGAAGGTCCGCCGCCTCGAGGCCCTCGAGGATGAGCCTCTTGGTGGACTCCTCCTCCTCCTCGCTGGCCTGACCGCCGGCGTGCTTGTCCTTCTTCTTGTTCTTCTTCTGTTTCTTGGCGCGGACGGCGGCGCGCGTCCACAGCGGGCCGAGCGCCCGCTCGCGCCGGGCTATGGCCTCTGCGTCCGCGCCTGCGCCGGTCGCGGCGATGGACGTCCAGGGGACCTGCAGGTCGGCCTTTGTGATCTTGGGCGCCGCCTGCAGCAGCAGCGGCGCACCGGTGGCGGCGGCGGTGGCGGCGGCGGTGTGGGTAGCACCACCATCCGTTTGTTGCGGTCGGACGGGCGACGGCGGGGGCGGGGGCGGGACGTGCAGGCCCGCGCGGAGGGAGGCGAGGAGCAGGTCGGCGGCCAGGGGCGCGAGGTGCGCCGTCAGCCGGGCCGTCGTCGTGCAGCCGCCGTCCGGGACGGGGTGGCGCGTCTGCGCGAGGATGCGGCCGTGGTCAAAGGCCGCGTGGTCGAGCGTCTGGAGGGTGAGGCCCGCGTGCGCGTCGCCGCGGAGGAGGGCGTGTTGGATCGGGGCTGGGCCGCGGAGGCTGTGATTTTTTTTTGTGAGTGAAGTGAAGGGGTCATAATTTTTTTTCTTCTTCTGAATCAAGAAATGGGTTTATTAGGTATGCCTTACTCGGGGAGGAGGGAAGGGTGGATGTTGAGGCCGCCGTAGCGGGACTGGCGGAGGAGGCGGGGCGGGACGAAGAGGCCGAAGGAGACGGCGATGATGAGGTTGATGGGCCCCGTTGGGGTCGGTGGTGGCTGGCCGCGTGCAAGTCAAGGGCATTAGCTATCTTCTATCGGATAGATTCGACTCCTAGTCGTACGAGGGAGGGGAGGATGAATGGAAGATATGGAATCTCCTTACCTCCCACCCGGTGAACGTATCCCTCTCATGCACAGGCAACGCCAGCTCCCTTGCCAGTACCTTGAGCGGCACTTACAACCGAAAAGTAAAAAGCTGTCAGCAAAAAAAACCCTTTGATTCCCGCCATGGGCCACAAGAAACAACCCGGGAAAACCCACCCTCCCGCAACGTCTTGAGGCCCCTGCCCGTCGGCTTCGCCGGCCGCACCACGACGTCGATCGAGTCGACCAGCTCGCCGGGCCTCTGGGACTTCTCCTCGTGCAGCGCCCGCAGCGCCGCGCAGCTGAACTCGTCGGAGCCGCAGAACAGGATGCGCAGCGGGTCCGACGACGCCCTGCGCGCTGCTGCTGCTGCTGCTGCATGAGCTTGGGACGACGACGAGTACAGGGCGCGTCTGCTGCTGCTGCTGCTGCTGCTGTGATAGAAGGGCGCCGCTGTTGATGTAGCGTGCCATCGTAGTAGATGGCGGGACGCCGTCATCCGCCGGACCGGAGCGACGAGGAGCATCACTACTTCTGTGGTGTTTGTCTTCACCGAGTGATGGACCTCCCACGTGTGTTTGCGTTATGAGATGAGACTATGAAAGTGACTCGGACTGAGCGGGGGTGGGCTTCATCCCAATTCGACACACGCTTCTGTTCTTTCGGTCAGTACAGGAACCATTTGGCTATCTAGATTTCGGACGTACCAAGAGCCGGGAAATAATGTCATACAGTTTGAGTGACGTATAAACAGGGGAATGGGTTGGATGAGATGTTACATCACGTTCCTGAGGTTTTGTATGTGGCCCGAGCTTCTTCGCTCTTTGCACTTCAACTCTTCCAAGTTCAAAACAGTCAAATTCTGACGATTTCAATTTAAAAAAGTATACAAGTCCAAGTGACGATATAATGAATAAATTTACGAGGCCATGATATAAAAGTCCATAAATGTGACATTGCCAAACGGTATCCCCGATATCGTACCTAGAAAGAAGTCTGCACGGGTCCACAGGTCCAAGAAAATGCACAGAGAAACGCTATGCAAGCCAACAACCGTCTGCTACTTCAATTTTCATTACAACTTGAAGCTCCCGCTCGTGGCCGCCTGGGCCGCCTTGGCCTTGTTGCCCTCGGCATCGACAATCTCGCCCTTGCGGTTGATGACCTTGACGCCGCCCCGCTTGAGCTCGGCGATGGTGTCCTGCTTCTCCTGCGCCTTCTTGCTGAGCTGCTTGCCGTCCCCGGCGCCGCTCTTGCGGATCCTCTCCTTGTTGCGCCTGTGCTTGCGCGTCCGGTCCTCGCGCGTCATCTCCTGCCGCGCCACGGGCAGGCCGTCCCGGTTGACCACCTCGCCCTTCTCGGCCGTCTCCTTGCCGGCCCGGTACACCTCCTGCGGCGCGATCATGCTCTCGCCGCCGGCGACGCCCTGCGCCGTCGTCGGCTGCGCGTCCTCCATCGCGATGGTGGCCACGTCGGCGACGACCGTCAGCGACGGCTCCGCCGGCTTGGGCTTGTAGTGCCAGCTGCTGAGCGAGTCGAGCTTGGCGCTCAGCTCCTTCCACATCTGCTCGACCTCCCTCTCCTCCTTCTGCAGCTTCTCGTCCGCCTTGCTGACGTACGAGTCCGGGTCCGCGTTCTTGACGTGCTCCTCCTCGTAGATCTCGGCCAGGCTCTTGCCCTGCTTGTCGTCGATCTCGATGAGGCCCCGCCGCGTGTTGGCGGGCAGGTCGCCGGTGGGCAGGCGCCGGATGACGTCGTCAAACTCCTGGGCGAGGATGCGGCGCTTGATCATGTCCTCGATGTCCTCGCTGACCTCTTGCGTGATGACGGGCACGGGCTTGCCGACGTACTCGAAGTCGAGCTCTTCGTCTAGCAACGAGTTGTGCGGGCGGGCAGGAGCGGACGCCTCACCGCTAAGAGTCCACTTCTTCTCCTTGACGGCTTCGCTTTCTAGCTTGCGGATCTCTTCGAGCAGCTTGGCTTGCCTCCTTTCGTGCGCAGAACGCCGTGACCTGGGGTCGCCAGCGGAAACTTCGGAGAGAGCATCCTCAGAATCTGACTGGTCTGAGAGGTTCTCAAAAAGGTCACGCCGGACATCAGCCATGGCTCGCTCGACGTCCTCGTCCTGGATCTCTGCAGGTTTGGGCAGAGACCGCTTTACTGGCTTCGCGCCCTTCTTGGCCTTCTTGGGTGGCGGCGCGAAGAAGTCCTTGTAGAAAATATCGTTCGCTGTGAGATCGAGGTCCATCCCATTCTCGATGTTCTCTTCCATTTCATCATCGCTGTCCCCTTCCGGCGCATCCAAGGCCATGTTGCCAAAGGTGGGTCCGGCTTCATCGTCCTCGTCTTCCTCGTCAAGTTCTGGGTCGTCTTCCTCGTCACGGCCACCCTTGCGAGATGTTTGGGGCTTGCCCTGGGGCTGTGACATTGGGTCGGCATGCCAATCCAGCTCATCGTCGTCATCAGCGGCGTCGGTGTTGGGGTCGGCTCTTGCATCTTGATCCTCGAACCACTGAGTCTGCTTGTTGAAATCGTCGATAGAGAAGAAGCCGTCGTTGAGGCCGTTGGGGTCCTCTACAAATTCTTGCTCGGGTTCGTCATCAAAGTCTTCCTCATCGTCGTCGACATCATCTCCTTCCTCGCCTTCCAAGCCCTCCTCGTCCTCTTCCTCTTCCCAGTCGTCTCGCAGATCCCCGAGGTCGTCGAGGTCATCGGAGTCTTGCTCATCCTCATTGACCTCCTCGACTTGTGAATCATTATCTCCACTTGACTCTGCTTCAGACTCGCTGTCTGAACCTTCGGACTCGTCTTCGCCATGTATATCGGCTTGCTCGAGCTGTTTGGGCCCATCGCCAGTCTCGATCTGGTTGGACTCTTCGAGCTCCCTCAGAGTCTCCTCCGACTGTAGCAGTGCACTCGATATTATGCGCTTGGCCTGCTGCCAGACCTGGCCAGTCTCAAAACCATCGATGTGAAGCTTGCGGATCTTGAGGACCTCTCCTCTGTCCAGGCCCTGCCCACCGCGCTTGCGCTTCTTGCCGGCCTCTCTGAGCTGCTGCTGTTGCTCGTCGCTGACCTGGCCGGCGAAGGCGTCTAGAGTGTCCTTGGCGAGCTGCAGCGACGCAGTCGGGACCGAGCTGGGCGGCTGCAGAAAGACATGTCGGTTGGCGGCGTCGAGGAAGGCGAGAACGGAAGCCATGTCTTTGGCAGGCGGCATGGATATCATGCCCGGGGCGAGCGTAAGGGTGTGGGATGTGGATGATGAGGTGCTGCCCGTTTTGGCCATCTTCTCGTGACGACGACGGTCCCAGCAGCTTCTCTACTAGGGGAAAGAAAAGTCGAGACACCGAAATTTGGTGGTGGATCTCAGCTACCGCCCAAAGAGAAAAAATTTAGGCGTTTTCAAGGGACGGCGGACCCCGCTACGAGGCTGCAAAGATTGGCCAATTGCACAGGCGGAGTGGCACCTGTGTTGGAAGCGTTTGGAGCTCCACAAAATTTTCTTATCTGGCCAAGAATGATCTTGATAACGATAAACGTTATTGTCTACCAGTTGCTTACCAGTTGAGTGCATGTAGACTGTAGACGCCTTCCTTTCGCACAATCCCAATGTTTGAAGTACAAGAATTGTTTGCACGACTTTGGCAGTTCCCGAACGAGTCGGATCATGCTTTGAGGTCTGGTGTATATTACTCGAGGACCACTTGTTCCCGCTGTACCCCGAAGGGTTTGATTCGATGTTGTCTTGTGGACAGCCAAAAAAAGATGCAGATCTTTCCTCCAGAGACACAAGGAGAGAGTGAATTTTGATTCCGTGACTGTGATCTATACTTATTTTTTCATTCTTCTTGTTCTTCCTTTAAATACCTTCTTTCGAGCAACGAGAAAAATAAGGCCTAAGACGCCTCTCTTAGTCTTGAGCAACGGCGTCAAAGCTTGCAATTTAACCTTACTGCAGGGTCTTTTTCTTTCTTGATCCATCTCCACATAATCCAAAAGTTTGGCTCGGTCGGTGTGCACGACACGCGGTTCCCAGGCCCGAAAACTCGAACAGAGGCCGAGAGACTGCCGGTTTAATCTGCGGCCAAACTTCCATTTGGTTAGGTATTTTTCCTTTCACAGGAGACGGACTTTTGGTCCAAGTATCCTGACTGCGTGAGTCGGCGACCCAGTGAGCACATTTGCTGGCGCATAACTATGCCTTCGTGGGGGCTGTCGTTCAAATTGTTGCATCCGGATGCACGTCTGCATGCTCCCCTTGGCCATGCCCCTCCGGGGTGTGTCTCAGTCGCATATCCTATACGGATTTTGTTGAATTTTCAGCGGTAGTCGATACACAGAGAATATTGTCGCCGGCTGAATTAGCTTCGGGCGGCATCTCGACCATCCGGAGATGCACAACTAACGACAAGACGGACTGGCCTATCAACCCGCTTCACGGGTTATCACGGGTGCAAGCCTGCAGATGCGTCCAGCAGGTCATGGTCCCCCAGCCTCCTCTCCCTTTGGGCAAGAGCTCGCGTGTGTCCTCCACCTTGCAACCTAAAACGGCCTCCACCTTCAACCACACCCCGGTGCACACCATGGGCACAACTCCGTTCTCTTGCAGGGTAGTAGTAGAGCAAGAGGCTAGGTTCGATCCATCATCGACCTTCACCGGACATCCTTTCATGTCTGATCACAATCTACTCCATATTTGCCCACGGCCGAACAGAAATGTCATCGTTGGGGGTTTCAGACGGTCATGAGTCGCCGCCACGGCCTAGTCCTCAAGATGGCAGACTGACAGGTTGGTAGTCGGGTTCTTGGCTCATGTTGAGAGCATGGCAGCCCACCTCTCCCCCGCTGTCAGAGAAAAAAACAAGCCCTCTAGCGCAAGGCACTATCATTTGGGGCGCCGCCTTCTCACCAGTAGCCAGCCGGCCGTTCCTCGTCAGTGCCGGCTCTGCAGGGCCGGGTGGAGGCCGAGGCCCCATGGACAGTGCATGTAGGTAGGCATCCGAGCGTGCGTTGTGAGGTACATGTGGGTGGTTGTGAGATGCCAGGATATGACCATCATATGCTGCCGTAGGTAGACGTGAGCGAGTGCAGTCTGTCGTGCCCGCTTCTCTTGTTTACAAGACACACATTATTGTTCCTGTGGGGGGCGTTTGGAATGTTTGAAAGACCTACAGAGTAGAGACAATGGCCCTGGGGTATTTCTCTCCAGAGATGAGGAATCTAGGCCCCAAGCCACAGATGGAGAGGAGAAACCATAAGTGTTCCGGCTGGGGATGGCACGGATGGCAAGTGGAGGTCAGATCAACTGACAGGCTGGTAACAGAAGGAAGGAGGCTAAGGCAGGGTATGATTGAATGCTCCATGGCTTCAAGCATCTTGAAGCAGGCCATGCAGATTCTCATCTTGGTGTTTGTCCTCGTGATTGTCCCGCGGCCTTGATTCTCAACGATCACCACCTCCATGGAGATCCTTGACTGTGTGATGGGCTGGCTCTCACTACTACTGGACGGGGATCCATGTCCTTGCTTGTGAATGCCTTGCATGTACGAGATGGGTAGGTAGGTATGTCCTCAGATCACATCACGGGTGTTTTTTTGTCAACATGGCGGACACGATTGCGTAGAATTCGGCCTTGGCAGTCCCACTGACGAGATCGCCGAACAAGAAGAGGGGCCGAGTATTTTTAAACAAATTCCAGACACGGCCATTGGAATCAGGAACATTTTGAGACTTCTCGATCGAATCAGAGATCTGTCGTCAGTATGGACCTTGTTTAAGTACAAGTACAGGTAGCCTGGTGGGAGGAATCTCCAACAAGTTCCAGGGTCCACGGCACCTTATCTGTTTGGGACACCCTGAACCGAGCTCCAATGTTTTAGCGTGGAACAAGCACACCTTTCTTTAGATCAGAGAGAAACGTGCTCTAATCGGGCCTTATCATTGGCTCTAAGGCACTCTCTTCCCTACGCTATCGAGAGGGGCCAGCTAGCCTCCGCGAAATGTCCCACGGTCGGTCTCCAGCAGCTGCAAATTGGCTGGGCCCCCGTAGGAAACTCATCCAGACCAACCAGACCTTCCAGAGAGAGCAGCAGTATGCGACGCGGGCGAGATGTGACCGAACGACAAACACTACTCCGTACACATGCATGCATGTCCGGCCCCATTGACGAACCAGAAGGCAAGGCTCGCCCGCACGCCATGCCTGTCCTTCCGCTCGACGGGCGAGCGTTCCGACAGAGCCCCAAAAGCGGCATAGGGACGCGACTACAAGTAGCAATTGGCTGCTAGGCCCTGTCGAGCCCCAGACCGCACGAGTCTAGAGCAGCGCCGCCCATCTACAAGTTTACGATGAGCACGATGGAGCGTGCTGGGCTGTCCCTCATCCGGAAAGCTTGCCGGCAGTGGTGCTGCTGGTCTATTTTACCCTCGGGACGAGCGGGCATGCGTGGTGTTGTTCCAACTGCCGTGCAGCACGAATCTGCTGAAGAATGTCTAGAGTTTTGTGGCTGCAGCTTGGGTCGCTTTCTTTCGTGCCTCTCTGGTGACGATGGTGAGACAATCACAAGATGCTGCGTGCTGCCAAAAGATGCCTTTGGGTTGCTCTGCCTCGACTCTCGACAGATCTTAGCTGGGTAAGTACGTCGGGTACTGTAGTAGTCATGGTTAGAGTTTAGATGCACTGACCACACCCTGAACGTTCCTGTCGGCAGGCAATGCAACTGGTGAGTTGCTAGCGTGGCACCGGCTGTTGGGTTGTAGGTCCCCGCCCAGTTGACCATCATCCACTCGAGCCTCAACCATAATTAGGTACCTCAAGCACTAACAATTGATGTGTGAGGCCCATATCTTAGGTACTTATCGATGTCGTAGGTAGGGCCGTTGCGATTATTGGCACCCCCTGGTTAGCCAGTTCTTTACAAGAGACGCATGAAGGACAGACAAGGTGGGTTGGTTGTGCGTTGCGTATGCTGCTGCCCCTGCTGTTATCACTCGATCGCTGATCACTGAGAGTGGGCTGAGGGAAACCATGATAGTGGCGGGTCCCATCCATCCTTTACCTTGCTTTCACATGGATGCGCAGCAGCCCAAACGACGTAATGTATCCATCTAGACTAAGTAGGAATTGTGCCGGGCGCGGCGGCGGTTTTGCTGGGGCCCGCCAAGCATAACTACCTCTTAGCAAGAGGCCGCCGCACTGAGTCGGACACCGTCTCTGGGTCCCAGGTCCAGCCTGGATCCAGCCGGGGTGTCTTTGGGGCCTCTTCTTCCTGGAGAAACACCTAAAAGCTTCCCAGTCCCATTCCTAATTCCCTCCTGCATCGCCTCTTGTTGTTTCTTCCTCTCTGGTTGTGCCTCTTTCCTGTATGCTGTATATACCCCATTGAAGAATTGATTCCCTTCTTCCCGCCCTTCTGACCCTCTCCAATCCGTCTTCTGACCTTGAAACGCACATCCTCCCTCCATCCTCCGGTTCAATCTGGTTCGTCAATCGCCTTTGCTGTTCACCGCCCACCTCCTACCGCTTTTCTGCCGGCCAGTGTTATCTCGCCTCGGGCTGGGTCTTCTCCAACCCACTTCATCCAAGACACTGCTCCCGTGTCACCACCCCGCCTGCACGCCTTCTGCGACCGAGTTGATGGGGATTGGGATAAGGCATACTTTCTTGTCATGAAATACGGCGAACAGTTCGAGCGTGAATCCGTTCCCGAATGGAGCCTTCGTATGTTTTGATCCTCCTGTCTTGACAGGGCTGGAAATCCTTCCTTATCTCCCCCTCCCGGCTAACCTTGACCAGATAACATCGACTACAACAACCTCAAGCACTACATCAAGGTGCACACCACGAGAGACCAGGCCACGGCTATCGCGATACCGGGTCAGCCCGACGGCTCCCTGAAGCGTTTCGAAGATGAGCTGTACCTCGAGCTGTGCCTGCAGCACGACCGCGTTGGCCTGTTCGTCGCGACCAAGGCTGATGAGATAACCCGGCGCCTACGTATGACAAACCCCTCCTCGCCTTGCATCCTCTGATCGCCGTTCGCATTCGACTCCAGCTGCCGCAGCACGTCATTTCTCTGCTGTGTATCCTTGTTGCACCGAGCTAATCGCTTTCGTATCACAGAGCACGTCTCGGACCAGATCCACCGCCTGATACTCCGTAGTACCGCCAGCCCCCGCCCTGGCGTCTCTCAAAAGCGTCTGCGGAAATTCGCCAAGTTTGAGCGCGACGTCGTGCAGTGCACTGAGGATACCCGCAACCTATCCCGCTTCGTCAACGCCCAGGTCGTAGCGTTTCGTAAGATCCTCAAGAAATACCAGGTACGCCCCTCTCCCCTCTTCCTGTCCGTCCACCATCCATTCATGTCTCTTTCGAAGAAGCGTTCGGCTAAACGTACCTCTCTCGTGACTAGAAATGGACTGGGTCGAGTGCGCTCGGTAGACGATTCAAGGACAATATTCTCTCCAACCCCAAGAGCTTTACGAAACGTGATTTCAGCCCTCTCGAGTCTCAGTGCAACGAGCTACTCAACGCTGTGCAGGCCGCCACTCCCAGCACTACCTCCCCCGTCACCCCCAACGGGCCGTCCCTCGATCATCCACACCAGGAGCCTGGTCAGCAGCTCAGCCTCCCAGAGCCGCACATACAGACACATTACTGGAACGAGTACGAGGACGGCAGCGAAGCGGGCGATATGGATGGCGCTTATTACGTTTACTATCCTCAGGAAGACGAATCACAGCCCTCTGGCGTCAGGGCCTTTGCCAACATCCTGGCTGTCCCGATCGAGAAGGTGAAAGCTTGGATTCGCTTTGGCGGGCCCGGCAACGATTCAGAGCGGAGGCCGCTGCTTCCTACCCACGAGGGTGCCAATGGCTCAGCGGTAGACGGTGGCTACTTCAGCCATCCGCCAGGCTCCTCGAGTGCTCTCGCTCACCAGAGCAGTTCCTCCGACACCGACGAGAACGACGATGGTGAGGGCGGGCTCGCTAGCGACGAGGAGTTCCCGCGGGGATACGAGGCCCACTATGCTGCGTTCCCGTCGATCAACGACCAGAAGATTGCACATTATAGGGAGAATATGCTCTTCTGGGCCACCATCTGCTCCTTCGTCGCATCCGTCATGCTCCTGGCCGTCGCGGGGCTCTTGATCACGACCGGCCGGCACAAGCTGCGGGTCGAGGTCGACGCCGGCGTGACGGTGGGTGTGGTGGCCAGCCTCGGTTTCGCTTGCGCCGCTCTGGGCGCGTGTCTCGCCCGGCGAGATCCCATTGGCCTTGCGAACCACATCGCCGTGTGGATGATGTTTGTCGTGATTTGCGTGCTCAACGGAATGGTGCTTGTCCTTGTCATGGGCAACACGACGCTCTAAAGGCATGGAAAGTTGTCTTTTCCTTTTTTTTGGTTGGCATGATGGCGCCTTTGAGCGCAGGCTTCACAATGAAGGCCCCTTTCCGTGAAGACGGGTGGACAAGGGGTTTTGCGATTTCAGCATGCGCTGCATAGAACGGACTGCTGCTCAACGCAGTATGGCGAAGGCCCTGGCTAGGAGAGGGGTCCTTAATGAGGAGTTTTACGGCGAGCATCGTCACGGGCGGGCTCTTGATATCCTTTGCTTTCATGGAAGTTTGTCTAGAATTTAGCGTAACCCCGAGACCAGCATAATTGATCCTAGGCGTTTCAAAACGTCACCGTAAAAGTCCTTCATTCAGTCCTCTGGTGCTTTCGCTCAATTCCGGGTTCTAATCTAGATCCAGTTCCGTAAATCTGCTACTCACTCACTCCCACCGGGTGTTGACCAAGCCAGAGTTACCCTGGGGAGGGATGTTCGAATTTATCCGCCATATGGATGGCACACAGTAATTGGTCACGGAGCTTTACCTTGCGAGATCTTGGGGAAAGCGGGACAGATGGATCTAGACTTGCAGCACAAAGATATATATATATATATATATATATGTACATAATGAGCAGCTGCTGATCATCCAGGGAAGTATTTCCCGGTACACATCGTGACAACCACCAAAGACTCCCCCTCTCTGCACTGCGCCTTTGTACTTGGTGAGAAGACAAACGATGCAGCTCACCTCCCTTCTCGCACTCGTCGCGGCCGCGGCCCCGGCCGTCCTGGCCAAGCCGGAGCAGATCCGCGCCGTCACGAGTCCCGTCTTTCACTACTACCTGCAGGCGTATCCGAAGAACGGTCAGTCCAGCTTACATGGCCTGGCCTCCCCCCTTTTCCTCCTCATTTCGGACTGTCCGTGACAAACTGACATTGACCTTCCTTCTCCTATGGCAGCGTCCCTCGTGGTCCTCGGCCCGGAGCGGACGAGCGAGTACTTCGACATCGGCTCGTCGACGATCCGGTCGACCAACACGAGCATGTACATCAACGTCGGGGGCGAGAGCACCTCGTACAAGGCGCTCACCTTCGGCAAGGAGGCGACGACCAAGGCGTGGGCGCTGGAGGGGGACACGATCATCACGAGCACGGCGAGTTCGCTGGGGAGGCGTGAGTTTTGTCTCTCTTCCCTTTTTTTCTCTAGACCCTGTGCCCAAAAAAAGGGTTTATGGTCGTTTAGGGGGCTGACAGATTTGGATTATTGACCGGTCGCGCAGAGCTCAACTTTGTGGTCTGCCAGCTCGACTCGCAGTACTGGCAGGTGTGGCTGCAGACGGGCAGCGCGACGCCTGGCGGGACGTGTAGCAACTACCAGACGCTGCATCTGCCTTGTCTGTGCTGATATGGTGGAAAGAAGATGAAAAAAGGAAAAGAGGAAGTGGTTTATGTAAACGTCTTGTGTGGATGAGTTGCCAAGTTTTCTTCCGTGGAAACTGTTGGTCGCGTGGCGCCTCTTCAGAAACGGTCAACATTTTGCAAAAGAAATATGGACAGGAGACGGAGAGAGAATCGATGATGAAGAGTAGTACATAGCCCGCCAGCTGCGGTATTGTGAGCTTTGTCGTAAGCCACCGGCAATAGCTCCTCTCCTATGATTTGTGAAGCCTCTAGCTAGAATGATGAGTCTCCTCTTTCAGTTGAGCCCTCCTTGATTTGGTCTCGTGAAGGATGAGGTTGAACTGTACTATGTACCCAGATAAACCTGCTTTTGAGTAAGCCCCAGAATTTACGATGGTGCCGAGAAAAAAACACTCAGACAGACTGACTCTGTTCACCTAGGGGGTTTGTGAGAAGACAGCATGGGCTGCACATGTAAAGAATTCTTGAAGACGAGGGAATATAGCGGGATAAGCTCTCGAGGTCGGATGCCCCTACTTTGCTTTCTTGTCCACATACTCATGGTTCAATCTCGACCTCAAACTTCTTCTCGTCCCACCAATTAGCCCCCTCGAAGAACTCCCACGCCCGCTCGGCAATCTTGGCAGGGTTGAGGTTTGCCGAGTTGGGGTCGACGGGACCCCCTACGACAACGAGGCCGATGTGCACGCCCTGAGGTGTGTAGATCTTGCTCAGAGACTGCACCATGTTCTTTTGCGAGGCTTTCGTCGCCGAGAGCGCAAACAGCTGCGGGATGGGATCGATGGGGAGCAGGGAACTGGTGACCAGGAGGGAGGGCCGAACAGATTTGTCGCCCGAGTTCGCGAGCTTGAGGAGATGGGGCAGTGCCCAATTTGCGGCATCGTGGAGGGCGGTGCAAGTGATCTATGTTCCCTTGTCATTCACATGCTCCATCGCGAGTACAAACTTTGCACGATTACCTTGAAATCATACACCAGCTCATCATTGGTAAACTTGAACAGCTCCGAGGGGATAACCCTTGCCGCGTTGAAGTAGACGCATTCTGGCGGTCCGAACTCGCTCGAGACCTGGTTGAGCACACTGACAAACTTCTCAGAGTCTGTGATGTCGACGGCGTAGGTCTTGACTGTGGCTGATGGGGCCGCCTCTTCAACAGAGTGGCGATCTCGTTCGAGCCTTTGACTGTCTCTAGCAATCAGCGCAACGTTGTCAAACCTCTTGGCGGCGAAGACAGAAGCCACATTGCTCCCAATTCCCGGGCCGGAGCCTATCAGGACGAGAGGGAGCTTGGTGCGAGAAGTCATAGTTCGAAGCCGGGTTCAGGAAGACTTTCAGAACAAGTAGATACACTTCTAGCGAGACAAGTGATCACTTGGTTCAACACAAGCAGCTGGCCCCTCCGGGTTTAAGTATCCTGCGCTCTTCCAAACCGAGGAAAGACATCGGATTACCACAGCCTGGCCAAAGTTGCAACAAAGTGCCAAGAGCGGATTCATAGCGAACCAGTCTGGCAAATCAGCGTGGCAAAGGTGTAGATCTGATGTCAACTGCATATAGACGCTACTCGTCCGTACATAGGGCCGCACGGTGCAGGCCATGAAGGATTCCATGGTGCCATACAGAACCCGTCTGAATCCTACTCTCTTGGGACAAAAGAACTCGGAAGCGGAGGGAGCAGGCGGAGGGATGATGCTGAGCTGATTTTAACTCCGTACGGACAGCATTCCGCCGCGAGCCGCAACTCGGATATCTTGGCTCTCGACTTTGCAAGATAGGGTGATTGGTCATCGTGACATTCCTAAACATTCTATAAACCCAAAGAGGCAAGCGTCATGGTGGATACAACTTGCATACAGAGTAATCATGAGGAGAATGGGCGAATCGTCTAGTTTTGCTTCCAGGATTCCCATGTATTCGGGAAAGCCATTCGACGCAAACAAAGTTCATCTAATGCACATCGTCAGCAGTAACGCTTTTGGACGCCTCTGAGATCAGCACTTAGTCCGACACAGCGGAGGTAAACTCCACTCGGCGGCCGGTGCGGGTTGCACGGGAATTGCGGCTTGCCCCCAAGAGTACTAAACCCGGATGTGAATCCTCCGCTCGCTGCGGCCTGCAGCCACGCTGTAAGACGGGCCGCTCCACAGCAACAGTGATGTAACTCCGCGGAAGACAATCATGTCATCTGGAAGCCGACTCCTCACAGCATTCATTCCCAGACCTCGACATCAAGCGCTCGCTGTATGTACTAGATCGCTTTTCTCCAGAATGAGTTCCACAACGTCCGACGGCATGTTTTCCTGGCTCCCGGGAGTCCAGAAGCCTCTCATCGTGAGCGCACCCATGCTGGGCGCCTCTAATGGCACCTTGGCAGCCGAGGTTTCCAAGGCCGGAGGTCTAGGTAGGTTTTCATGGCTGATTTGAGGATACTCTGGTCTGCGCAACAATAGCAATTGACTCTTCCACGACGTGAAAAAGGCATCGTCCCGCTCGGCATGGACTTCACCCCCGGCGGGGCCGGCCTCAAGACCATGGCGTCCGAGCTTGCCACCGCCCGGCGCGTCCTGGGGCCCTCGGCGCCACTGGGCGCCGGCTTCCTCACTTTCCACGGCAGCGTGGGCCGCTTCGCCGAGTCCGCGATCCCGATGCTGAGAGAGCACAACGTCACGGTCGCGTGGCTGTTCGCGCCCGACCGCGACGCCGAGAACGCGGGCGCCGCGCCGCACGCCGAGATCATCGCGGCGCTGCACGGGGCCGGGATCAAGGCCATGGTGCAGGTGGGCTCGGTGGCGGCGGCGCGCGAGGCGGCGCGCGAGGGCGCCGACGTCATCGTCGCGCAGGGGACGGACGCGGGCGGGCACCAGTTTGCCTGCGGCGCCGGGGTGGTGAGCCTGGTCCCCGAGGTGAGGGACATGCTGGACGAGGAGTTTGCCGGCCGGGGCATCGGGCTCGTGGCGGCGGGCGGCATTGCGGACGAGAGAGGGGTGGCTGCGGCGTTGGTTCTGGGTAAGCGAGCGGCGAATCAGCGAGCACTTCGGTCTGCTGTTGCGTGTGCTGATGTCAAGTGGATAGGTGCGGACGCTGCTGTCATGGGAACCAGAGTAAGACAATACCCCGTATTTCCTAGGTCTCGCTCTACATGGGCATCTGGATGGAGGTGGCTGACTTGATCTACTAGTTCCTTGCTTCTGAAGAGTCTACGGCGGGAGGGCACTATCGAAAGGCCATCCTAGAGGGCAAAGATGGCGGCCAACTGACAGTCAAGTATGGGCGGATGCCTCATCGCGATCATTAGGGGGCCCAGGTTTGGCTGACAAGGCACAGATCTACCTTCCATGACGACATCCGGCAGACAGTTGTCTGGCCACAACTGTACGATGGACGAGCGATCATCAACAAGTCTTACGAGGAGCATGTCTCGGGCGTCACCTTTGAGGAGAACAGGAAGAAGTATCAAGAGGCCGTGTCTAGTGGCGATGGCACTCGTCTTGTTACGTGGTCGTAAGTTGAGCCCCCTGCTGCTGGCGCGAATTGATGTGTTATTTGATCCCTTCCGTGCCGGTCTTGAGACATCCAGGCATGAATGAATGAATGAATGAATGATCCCGATGATAACATGACGTTACAATTATAGGGGAACTGCATTGGGTCTGGTCAAGGAGGTCCTGCCTGCCGGAGAAATTGTCAGGAAGGTCAGGGAAGGGGCGAGGCAGAGGATCCAGAAGGTGCAGTCTGGCCTGTAAGAATCCGCAGGAGGAACCTGACGTAGGTCTTTCCGAGACTGAACAGGCTTGACTGGACTGGGACAGGGTGATTCGATTATTCAGAGTGCACCAACTTCTTGCGAGACAGAAATGCTGCTCCTCTGAGTTCAGCTCATGTTGGGCAGCTAGTCCTTATCAAGAGTCAGAAACCGCAATAACCGTCCCAAAAACAAGAATGAACGCAAATCAGCACAATTCTGCCAATCAGTCATCTGAAGCCGAGCTGTGGAAGCGGCATCGGTCTCAACAACGTCAGGTCTTTGAGCCCCGATCGTAACGTGCATTTACATCCATTCATTTCCTCACCTCTGACCCACAATGACACAGACTTGACAACCAAATGGAGCCTCGGGACAGCAGGGCTAGATGCCAGCAAACCTTCTGACAGGCCGTTGGCCCCGTTCCACACTCCGACTCATCACACCATCCCACCGACTGATGGTGTCCGAGTTAGGACTCACGGGAGCCAAGTGGCAAAACGCAAGGGAGTCGAGGGGGGAGGGTCTCCTGGAACGGCCAATGGGCTGTTAGTTGACGCTTTCGACACTTACACAAGGAGGGAGCCCACGGTAGCAGGGCACCACCATCCCGGACACTTTTGTTTCGAAACAGATTGTACCGGGACGAGGGTTTTCTCGAAATGGTGGAGTAGCTGCAGTAGCTGCAGGACTGGGATCCGTGAATCCGTGAGGGCTATCGACGCGTGGGGGACAAGAGTCAACCGTGGCTGGTGGGCGACAAAGCGTGGAATACCGTGGTGTGCCACGAGTGGCCACGAGGAACACCCGGTCCAAGCCAATGGATTTTGCTATTGGATGCGACAGCCTGCTCGAATTTCGCCTCATTGCATCACCGAGTCCGGGGCATTCCCCCAATTCATTCTCTTGCCTGTGGCCTGCAGTCCCTGGCGCACGGCGCCTATGACGCCCATTCTGGCGATCTGGGGACCTGCATGCGAGACAGGTCGAGGCAAGCACCAGTATATGTAAGTCGTCAATGACCCAAAAGCGCACAAAGGCGCTCCATTGAAAAGGCAGTCTGGGGAATCTTCTAGGGCTTCGATGGTGCCAACAGAGCGCTTGTTTCACGGGTTGGGCCGACGCGCAGCGCCAGCGCGCGTCAAACGTGTCAGTTTGGTGTTTGGCACACTATCGAGGACCCAATGGCAGCGGCTGCCAAGAGCTTATTGCATTTAGAGTGCAGCTCATCCCCAGCCACCACCTTATCGATAGCGCTACCACCAGGTGGCCGTCCCCGCAGACCAGAGGATCATCCATGTGTCTTGCTGCGCACCGACCCCTGCCTGCAGGATGCCCCGGCCACTGCCGGCCAGTAACAGCGGGCAAAACACCAAAGGGCCAGACGGCGTCGCACGAAGCTTGCATTGGTGTCCTGCGGGAGTCCGCCGCTGCTGCACCCCTCGGGCCACTCAGAGGGCCCGGCGCGGTGTGTCGCGGTGCGGTCCACGACCCCGTCTGCATACATATGGGCGGAGACTGCAAGTCGGGTGAGTCACTCTCTGCCAGTCGATCTCGACTGTCGGCGTTGTTGAGCGACACCACGGAAACGGGGGCCCCAGGTGGGCATTTTCGCCATGCAGACCTCGCGCGCAAGATTCGCGAACAAGAGGCGAAGGACCAAGAAGGTGAGGGATTATAGGCGAGGGAACAAGGGGAAAAGGAGGAGGCTGTCGAGTGATCGGGAAAGGGTATAACAGGTCCTCGGGGATGCCTTTGCCTCGGGCGTCAACTCTTCCTGTTGGATTATTTCTGTCTCTTGCGTCAAAGTTGACTGCATCATCATACTCAATCGATTTCTCTGAACCTGCACCTCGTACACATCAGAGGCGATGATATCCATTCCCATGAAGCGCAATTAGCCTCATTCGTCCTCCTTACCGCCATCTTCCTTCTCACTTGTCGTGGATCATCCTCTCTATATTTATTTTAGTCTCTGACGAAAGCGTTTCAATTATCCATCTTGCTCTTCAAATATTCTCTCTTGACTTACACGTCTCGACCACCGCCACATCTCCCTCTTGAATCCTCCTCCTCAACGACATGCAACAGCTATGGCAACACACCCAACCGCATTCTACTGCCTCTGGCAGGAAGAACGCATCCGTGAGAAGCTCTTCCAGCTCCTCCCCAGAGAAGACATCTGCTCCGTCAGATTGGCAAACTCGGCATGTTGCAACCTCGTTACCAAGCGCCTCTTCCTACGAACCCACCTGAACTTCACATCAAACACCTTCACCAAGACCAGCAGGATCCAGGCCCTCTCCCGGATCGGCCACCATATAGAACACCTTACCTTTTACTTTGCGCACTCCGAGGCCACCTTTCTTCCCCCTCTCATCCACCCGCTGACGGGCCGTGAGATCAGCTTCCTGTACACCCCTCACACATCCATGGGTTCGGTACTAGCGAGGCCCAAGTACGGAAACTCAGAGCTGGGAGACATCCTCACACAGCAATATCCCCCGCTGTTCCATGCCGCCACCAATGTCCCTTCTTTCATCAACGCCATGAAGCACATGCCCAACATGAGGCATCTTACCATCAGATGCCCAGGCCAGCAACCCCAAGAGCGGTACAGAAGAGACGTTGTCGACTATGCCCTCATCAGCTTGCGCATCTCACTGGAGCGTACCCCGTTGCACAAGCTCAGCAAGCTCTCCCTCGCCGGCGTGCATCCCTCATCCTTCAACTACCTGCGTCATGTACCTGGTTTCGGATGCATGCCCTCTGCAGGGAAGAGATGGAGACAGATCCGCAAGCTGTACATTGCGGTTGACTCCTGGGACTTTTACGGACCATCCCCGGGCCTGGATCACCTCAAGATTATAGACGACTACGTCCGCAACTTCGCACCCAACCTGGAGAAGCTCTCTTTCACGTGGCTAGGCCGCAAGGGTCCTTGCCCGCTGGCCCTTTCTTCGGATCCTCTGTTTGCGCCGCCTCGCAGCTCAAAGAAGCTCTTCAACGAGGTCACCAGCCCCATGAGCCCACTGCCCCCGGCACCAGCAAGGGCGCCAATCCACTTCCCTAGGCTCAGGTACCTCACCGTGCGCAACGCCACAATGAACGCGCCGCAGCTGAGGACCCTCGTCGCCACTCATCAGGCGACGGTCAGGGAGTTTGACTTTGAGAACGTCGCGCTCATCAGCGGCGGCAGCTGGGACGACGCACTGGCGCCGCTCATGGACCAGAACAATGACCACGCTAGTGACGTCTGGTCACGGCACTCCATCGGCGGCACCGCGTCCGAGGCGGGCAGCATCCGGCCGACCACATCCTCAAGTGAAGAGCCCGAGTTGCCCTCGCCATCTGCAGCGGTGGCTGCTGCTTCTAGGGAGCTCCTGGACCTCGATGTCGAGGGTCTAGAGTCCTTCCTCGGCCTCAGCGGCTCGCCTACCTTGATGACTGCTGACCGGTTTTACGAGGATGAGGAGGATAGCGGTCTGGCATCGGACATCGCAGCCGCCAAGGAAGCCAGTACCTCGTTCAGCACCAAGCTCAAGAAGAAGCGCATCCGGCGCAGGAAGAAGCACCGTAGGGACGACCGCGAGGGTGGCTCCGACGACGAGCACCGGTCCCGCCACCGGCACAAGCATTCCAACTCGTCCGGCGACGACCACCATCGCCGCCAGCGTTCGCGCTCCGCCCATCACGGCAAGCACCACCGCCGGCACCGCAAGGCTGCGTCGGCAGAGACGTTGCCCAGCGCACCCGCGGCGGCCTCGCAGCAGCACTCGCCGCCCCACCGCTTCGCGCACCTCACGCCCCCCTCGCACATCACCATACCCTTGCCGCCCGAGGAGGAGGGCGAAGACGACGTCCTGCTCCGCACGCCGACGCCGGCGCCGCTCAACATCTCGGCGCCCGTGCAGAACACGGACCCGCTCCCCGTGCTCCTGCAGCCGACGACATACGATCCGTCCTCCTCGGCGGCGGCGGCGGCGGCGACGGCGCAGCTAGACGACGGGCTGTCGGCGGTGCAGCGCAACATCGAGATGGAGGAGGCGCACCGGCGGCTGGCCGAGGACGCCGAGGCGCGCACGTCGGCGCTCAAGAGGGCCAAGGAGGCGGTGCTGATGAAGCTGGGCCGCGACTTCCAGCGCAAGATGGGCGCGGAGCACCACCACCACCATACCGCCGCCGTGCCTTACGGGCGGTGCGCGTCGCCGGACATCGGCCGGAGCAACAGTGGCTCCAGCGGGGCGCACCCGTGGACGATGAGGAGGCGGCTGTTCGGGGAGGCGCTCGGGGTGCTGGGCGGCGGCGGGGGCCACGACGACAGGCGGCCGAGCATGGAGAGTAACTCTGCGCTTGTGCCGTTGATGTTTAGCCGTGCTTGAATGAGACACGGGAGGAGGAGACGCAGGGTCTCATTTTTTCTTCATGTACACACATCTGTTGAAGTAGGTATGTGGAGCAGGGTGGGATTGGGGTTTGCTACCCTGTCCTTGGCTTGGTCATGCTTATGACTCTTTTAATGGCTTCTTTCTTTTTTTTTCTTGTCATGATAACATGTAGTTATGTCTTAAACGGGTTTCACGTTGGGGCTGGGAAATGAATATCATGAATCTTATTCTTCACGAAAAGCTGCCGTGTGTTCGCTTTCGCCTGCCTGCGGACGTATTATGCGTTGTAAGTTACGTGCCTCGGTGGTTGCATTCGGTGCGAAGCGGATCGACTAACTACCAGTGGGATGATGAATTTCCCTGTTTTGCCATACTACTCCACGATAATCAGACGCAAATAGGGTCTTGTGCCTCCATTCGGCTACCAAGAGCCGCTCAGGTACGGTACCCCTACCTTGGCAAAAGAGACGGTGGAAGAGAGTTGGAGCCGTTCTGGCGATAACGCCTTGCGTAGCTGGTGCCTAGGCTAGGTCTGTGCAACGGGAACGAAGGGTGCCGCCTGCATGCTGAAGCTCGTCAAGAGATCCCTCAGTGCTGACGATACACATCATTCCATCACCAAATGGTTGATTGATAAGAAGTCAAGCAGTTGGTTACTTCCGTTACCAGCGGTCAACTACGAAGTACTCCGTAAGCGAGCACTTGTTGGCAAATCCCTAGCGTGGCCACAGTGCCTGAATGAGGAAAACGGGCGGAGCCTGGCTGATGTTCGGCTGCCCGTTGTGGAGTTGGACCACAGCAGGATGTATGGGCAATACAATGGACCCAACAGACCGTTCCAGGCGGCTTATTAGTGTCTTAGTTAGTGTCGCGGGGCTGAATGAAGAAGAAGAAAGCATGGCAAGAGTTGGCAGGCGGTCAGGTACAAAGCCCGGACCGGTCGGAGCTGTGATCGAGAGATCACTTGCTGCTCAAACTTGGTCACCCCCTTGCCCCCGTCCTCCTGCTGGTGGCATGTAGGGGGATATCTTATGGCTTCGACGCCGGTCGGTGCTTGACGTCAACGGCGAAGAACACGGACCGCATTCCTCGCGAGGGGAATGGAAGTTGTGCCCGAGTCCAATCACTCGAGGAGAGTTTCGATAGATAGCGCATCCCGCAGTATTGGGTGCTAGCCACGGGAGAAAACGTGCACTTTGGCCTCCTCTCCCCCCCTCCACTCCAGCCAGTGCCTCGCTTCTCAAATAAAGTACGAAGGGTAATCAGATATGACCGGGGACACCCCGGTCGCACCCAACGAGGGCTGCCATTGGCCCGCAGCCAGTACCACTGATCTCGGGGAATATTGCCTGCCTGCCTTCCTACCTCTCTCTCGTACGCGAAGACCTGGTCCGGCCGCGCCGCCTGGGCGCTGCAAGCCAAGGTCTCTCGTGGACTGGCTACCTAGCGAGGGCCCAAGGAGGGATGCGTGGTAGGTAGTGGGCGCACACAATTTCGTGGGCCTTGGCCCTGGCGCTGGTATGGCTCGCTTTTCCATTGCCTTGGTTTTTGCGTTTCCCTGGCTGGTTTTCCTAAAGCGGGAAAAGGAACAGGTACCAAAGAGGGATAAGAAGAGGGTGCCGTTGGTGTAGAATCCCGCCCATAGCTCGGATCTAATATAGCGTGCGGCGGCGGCCCTTACTCAGTCGCGTGTGTTTTTGGGATACCTATGCGTGTGGGCAGAATGGGTGGGTGGATGGGGATGCAGGATCCGTCGGCCGCGAAACACCGTGTCCAATCCGCTGCGGGCGAACAGTGCGCCGCCGTCTGTCTGTCTGTCTGTCTGCTCCGTACAGAGCAACAGTACCTAGTTATCTGTTGGAGTCAATGAAGTGAGGTGCAGCTGGATGAGCGCGCAGAGCAGGTAGGTACCTCCTCCGTAAGGACATGAGACAGAGCTCTCAGTAAACTACCTATCCATTGGCCAAGCCAAGCACCGGGGCGCATACGAAGTGAGAAAATTGGTGCGGCGTCTCCATCTTTGGACGGGCGCCATGGCGCAAACCCGATGCACTCAGGATTCTCGATCTGGTAGGGCGGCTTGTCGATCCGCCGCGAGAAGGGGGGAAAAGCGAGTGGGAGAAGGAGGAGGAGACAGCACTGACCCCAATCACTAACCCGCTCTTGTCTTGTGTGATTTCGCAGTGCTGTACCTACAAGTAGTTAGATATGGATACAATAATTTAGGTACTGCCCATGCTGGAAGCTGGTGGAGGTGGGTGGGTGAGGATTGAGAGAGTGTGTCGCTGTCACTGCTGGCGTGCAAGAGTGCCGTGTCTAACTCGGTGGGCGTCTATCAGATTCCCGCTCCCTCCACTGAACAACCAGGCACTCCAGGCCTGGCCATCCACACACCCATCTCCGTTTCCCCCCCAGTCGTCCGCTTTTTTACGTTACTGCTTGGGAATCGGCCAATTCTAGACTACCGACGATCACTTCTGCTTTCCCACCTCTCGCCTCTCCCCATTCCCTCGCTGACAATCGCAGACGCTGCCTTTCCACAGCCCGCCAGCCAGTCCGCTCCAGACCTGCCGAGCTCTACCAGAGAAGCATCACGCAAGCTCGCCGTGCGCCAAGCCTCGTCGGAGAAAATTCCCTTCCGTAGGCCCTGGAAGCGTCGCGTCTTTTGCCAATTCGTCTCGGAGCAGAGGCAGGGAATTCTGTTGGGCGTTTCAGACACCTGTGTTGGAATTCCGAGAGGGAGGATCTTACTGCGCTTGTGCCGTGCGTGCGTTGCGTGTGCGTGTGTGTGTGTCCCGTTCCGTCTCCTGCGATCGGGGTTGGGAAAACCATCTCCACGACAGCAACCGGTCTCCTTCAACATCGACACCGCATCCCAATCCCCGCCGTCGAATCTTCCAAATCCTCCGATTCGACCTGCCCCGGGGTGCTGCACAACCAAATCCCGGTTCCGCGTCTTGATTCCGTCTCTGGAGTCGTGTAACGGCTGTCTCTGCCGTCGCGCCGTCGCACTACATTATCGATCATCGGAGCGACGATCTTTCTCCAACGAGAGCCTCCCTTCGTCTCCCACCCCCCCGGCGACCGCCCCGTCGCATCTCAACCACCGCCTTCCTATACACCGGAACCGTGTGACGACGCTTTGCCCCCGCGCCTAAGCGATGCCTTTCTCGACGGCCCTGCCAGAGTTTTCACAGTAACCTGGCGAAAATGAGGATCGCAATCCGCGAGCAGCTGGCCGCTCTCGTCGTCACGGCCGTCCTGATCGCCCTCGCCATCGTCTCGATCCCCACCTGGATCTACGTCAACAAGTTTGTCGTCGACGTCGAGTCCAACGGGCTGACCCTGACCGCGTCCCTCAAGGCTGCTAGGATCGCCTCCGAGATCGAGCTCATCCAGTCCAACTGCCAGACCATCGCCTCGCGTCTGCTCATCCAGCAAGGCTTCGAGTCCTATTACAATGGGAACCACACCGCCTCGAACTGGGGCCCTGCCAGCGATGATTTGAAATCGGCCCTGAGCACGGCCGGCGCCGCGCTCTACCAGGCCAGGCTCTATGCGCGAAACAGCTCTGGTCCCTCGTGGGGTCTGGTGAACATCACGGCTCCCGATGTGCAGCCCATCGAGCTGCCCGACCCGCTACCCGACGGAAGCAAGGCCTTTCTGGACAACTCCACCGACGGCTACCCTGCGGCTCTGTTTCCCAACATTACATATGTCGACTTGGGCTACCGGAGCCGTGCCGATCCCTCTGTCAATGTCTGGGCCGCCAATGCCTTCCCCGACGTCAGGCTGTACAACAACGGGGGGCTCATCCTCGGCCCTGTGATTGTCAATTCTTCCTTTGCCCTCGTCTCCCTGACAGTACCTGTCATGTACAATGCCAACCAGGACTTCATCCTTGGCTACATGACCCTGGTGGCCTCGGCCAGCTTCCTGCTGCGGATCCAGCAGTCCGCAGAAGGCCTGGGCAATACCGGCACCATGCTCATGATCGGCCCTACTACTCCGTACAACCGTTTCAACTCGTCCAGCCCCCCGAGCAATAACACGTACAAGCCGCCAAACAAGGAGACATTCGGCAATGCCGACGTGCGCTTCATCCTCCCTCCCTTGGCTCCCGCCGACTCCTCCGACCGTCATTCCCAGCACAACTTCGCCTCGGGCAGATACGACGACCCGTGGAAGGTCAAGCAGTACCCTGTGGTCCTCGACTCGTTCACGTCCCAGATCCGCGGCGTCAACAACGCCAGCAGTCGGTTGGATACGACAAACGAGGAAGGGCACCAAGTGTCCGTGGGCTTCGCACGGCCTCAGACCGGTCTCGTCCAATGGGTTGTCGTTGTCGAACAGGACAAGTCGGAGGCGTATACGCCCATCAACACGCTTAGAGACATCCTCTTGGGTTGCGTCTTTGGCACGGCAGGTCTGATTCTGCTCCTGGTGTTTCCCTGCGCCCACTTCAGTGTCAAGCCGATTCGCCAACTCAAATACGCCACGGAAAAGTCGGTGGCGCCGCCTGGGTACGAAGGCTTTGACGATGAGCTGCCCAGTTCTGGAACCCGGTCGCAGAGGTCGGAGAAGGGCTGGATTGTGGCCTTGAGGCGCAAAGTCGACAAGTATCGCAGGAAATACCTGGCCGACGAGGACCACGACCCAAATCGCCGCATCTTCAAGATCCCCGGCAAGGTGCCCGAGAAGAAGCACTTCATCACGGACGAGCTCACCGAGCTCACGTCGACCTTCAATGCCATGAGCGACGAGCTCTACAAGCAGTACGAGTCGCTCGACGAGAAGGTCGCCGAGCGGACCCGCGAGCTCGAGATCAGCAAGAAGGCCGCCGAGGCCGCCAACGAGAGCAAGACGCTATTCATTGCCAACATTTCTCACGAGCTGAAGACGCCTTTGAATGGTATCATGGGCATGTGCGCCGTGTGCATGGAGGAAGATGATATCGTGCGCATCAAGCAGTCTTTAAAGACCCTATACAAGTCTGGCGATCTGTTATTGCACCTACTAGAAGATCTATTGAGTTTCTCAAAGAACCAGATCGGCCACCAGGTCAGCCTAGAAGAGAAGGAGTTTAGATTAGGAGACATCCGGTCACAGGTGCTCTCCATTTTCGACAAGCAGGTCCGGGAAGGCAAGATCAACTTCAGCGTGGATTTCGTCGGGTCCGACGTGCTAGAGCAGAGCCCGAGTCCGGAGCGGGTGAGCATGGACCGGAAGCTGCCTGCGTTGGGCCCCGCGGGAATGGGCCGACTGAAAGACATGTGTCTCTGGGGCGACCAGCACCGCATCCTCCAGGTGATCATCAACCTGGTCAGCAACAGCTTGAAGTTCACGCCGCCCGGGGGCAAGGTCGGATTGAGGATACGATGCCTGGGAGAGGTTGAGGAACCGAGGGACGAGAGCAGGACGTCATCCTTCTCCAAGACCGGCTCCAATCGGCCGGGACGGAGCCGACATAGAATGGGGTCTTCGTCCACGCACTCGCAGAGCTCCAAGACGGGGTCGACACCGGCCACGCCGTTCAAGGGAGGAACTGCACTCTCCATCAACCCCATGGACCCCAAGACGACGGCGCATGTCCACACGCGAGAGCGATCACTATCGCCTCCGCCACCGAACGCCAAGTCGTTCCTCTTCGAGTTCGACGTCGAGGACACGGGGCCGGGTATCGCAGAGCACATGCAGGAGAGGGTGTTTGAACCGTTCGTGCAGGGCGACCTGGGCCTGAGCAAGAAGTTTGGAGGCACGGGTCTCGGGCTGAGTATCTGTCAGCAGCTCGCCGGTCTCATGGGCGGCCACATCACGCTGAGGAGTACTGTTGGCGTCGGCACTACCTTCATCATGCAGATCCCGCTCAAATATGTGAAGGATAGGTGAGCTCCTCCATCCCCGGAACTGATTCATGAAAAAAAAAACCAAAGCAGTCACTAATATCGGTTCGGAACCCACAGAGCCTCCAGTACTGCCTCGAGTAGCATGAAGTCCCGCCCGCCGAGCGTAGGGTCTGTCGATGATGCGAATCTTCGGCCGGCCATGGCCAAGCCCGTGACAGACGCAAAAACGAGCAACCTGCTCAATAAGCAGCCGCGTCTCGTCGGCCTCAGCCAGCCTTTCTTCGCGGCGAACCCGACCCCGTCGCCGAGCAAGGAGGAGCAGCTGGCCGCCATCGACCGCGCCATGGCCAACAAGGCCGGGCAGGGCAAGCTGCGGGTGCTCGTGGCGGACGACAACTCGACCAACATCGAGGTGGTGAGCAAGATGCTCAAGCTCGAGGACATCTACGACGTGACCATCGCCAAGGACGGCCAGGAGGCGTACGACCTGGTCAAAGCCAACATGGAGCAGAACCTGCACTTTGACGTCATCTTCATGGACATCCAGATGCCCAACCTCGACGGCCTGCAGAGCACGCGCCTGATCCGCAAGATGGGCTACTCGGCGCCCATCGTGGCCCTGACGGCCTTCTCCGAGGAGAGCAACGTCAAGGAGTGCATGGAGTCGGGCATGGACGAGTTCCTCAGCAAGCCCATCCGCCGCCCGGCCCTGAAGCAGGTGCTCAAGAAGTTTGCCACCATCCCCGAGGAGCCCGAGACGGCGAGCGTGCTGACGCGCAAGACGACGCCGGACAACAAGTCGCCGACTACGGCGGCGAGGCCGCCGACTGCTGCCCCTAATGCTCCTCCTCCTCCGGCTTCGACGGGAGCAGCACCGACTGTGGTCGGTAATGGTGGTGGGGACGGCGCCGTCGTCGCGAACGGGCCCACGTCGACGATCGTGGGCAAGACGGATCTGCCCAAGGTGTCGACCGTGGAGGACATGACGGTCAACGGTCCGCAACCGGCGCACACCAACGGCGCGCCGCTGCCGCCCTCCTCGCCGCCCTCGCCCAAGACCGTACCTCGGGCCTGAAAAGCTTTTTCTTTCTTTCTTTAGATAAGAAAGCGCAGCCGTTATTCTACATATATGACGAACACGAGATACCCCCCTCCCCCCCCCCTCAGCTACGATTTCCGTCTCCCTTTTCTTGTTTTGATTTTCTTGTGTATACAAACCCCAACCCCCAATATTCCGTGTCACACTTCCACTCGTACACACGCGTGCAAAGAAGACCACTATCAGGTCTCTCACTCTTCATCCCGATCTGCCTTACGGATTTTGAATCTATATGCAGATCTCGCCTCGGCAACGGAGGAAATGTCGCTGGAGGGCCGCTCCATCAACAGCAGCAGACGGGTGGGGTGGCATAAACGGGACTGCTCTCTACTGGCATTGTAATCTTCTGTCTTGACCACTTAGGGTGGATTTCCATAGGGTTTTGTTTTTCTCGGTTCTTGGTATACATTCCGCGGTGTTCAGGGGGTACTGGTCGGATTTTTGTGTGCAAAAATAGCATGGGACTCTGCGCGAAAAAAAGAGATACGGGCAAAAGAGCTGCTATTTATGTTTTTTTCCCTCGTTCTTCTCATATACGGGGGCTTTTCTTTTATGTTCGACCGCTGCTTGGCCCGGATTCATATAAGGGAAGGCAAAAGACAGTCTTTTGCTTTTGGGACAGCCAATCTAGACATCAAGGGACAGATGCAAACAAAAAAGTCGTTATATTCCCTACCTCTCTGTGCCCATGGTTCACTCTGTCTGTGTCTTGTCCCCCCTCCCCCCTCCACCCCCGATTCTCTGTCTGTCTACAGTATTTCATGCGATCAGTACGAGCGAAAGGGGGACGACCTGACACTGTCGTTGGAGTAAACAAAGGCGGGTGGGAACAACACGATGTCGAGGTAGGATTAGCTGGCTGTTACATACAAAGCTTATTACAAGCGTAGTCAAAACAGCAAGAGAAGATAACCGTCGTCCCTTTCATCTTTACGCTGCTCATAATTTGGCTGGAATGAAGTTGAAGAAGGCATGCGGCTCAAATTGAAGGGTGTTGTATGATTGGCTCAAGTGGTCTATCCGGTTGGTCGCGATCTTGGGCCGAAAATTTTGAGCCTCAAATCCCAAACCATGTCTCGAAAGTGCGAGTCAGGCATGGATTCAACGGCAAGTCATGCACAACAAACTTTACAAATAGCACACTCCCAACGTACAGACTGGCATAAATCAAATCTACGTACGACACAAGGGAGAGACGAATAAAATCCAAAATGTCACAGGCCGGAAGCAAAAACAAAGACGCTTATGAGGGCCAAAAAGACAAAACAAAAAACGTACAACACCAGGCATTCGCTGGTCGTCACCGACCCAACTACTACTCCGGCGATTGGCAGCTTATCTATGGGAGAGCGGACGGGATCCCGAGTTCTCTACCATCTATGGTCGTACGTGAAAGAATACAGTTGTAGTTGAGTATATAGCCCCCTTGTGTAGTGGAGATCTTAGGGCAAGGCTAGTTAAGCCCAGGGTCCGCTCATACCATTCCATTCCTCTTGGGACCAAGAGGACTGTGGATCTGATGAGAAGTTCGGTGTTACTGACAAGGCCAAGGCATGCCGAGGTACCTAGCTATAGTCTAAGTCCTTCTAATTCAGGTCTCGATGTCCAACAGAACAAGTGGCCAGCAAGGTTCTCCGGTGTTCGCTTTCACTGAGGGAGAGTTGTGTCTGATCACCCACACGTATATGCTTTTCCCCAGGACTGGGCCTCCAGATCTCTTACCTGAAAGCTAGGCCTCGATCCGCTAGCCCATAAATGAGAAGGTTTAGAATCGCAGGACTATAGCGCTCCCAATATGATGGAAAGGAAGGGAGGTTCGAAAAGAAGGGAGGTTCGTTTCTGAAATCGTCGAATGTCAGACCTGAGAGCAAATCTTCTTCAAGCAAAGACCACAACTCACGTTGTGGAGGCAGGGATATGGTCACATTTCATGTTCACTAATGACACCAACGAAGCTGAGCTTGAAAAAATATATGTATTCGATCCGTATAGCAAGACGTAGTAAAAGCCAAAACAGCCGTGGGAAATTTCATCCATCGCTGTCCTACCCAGTCGTTGGTTGATGGGCCACCACAAACGCCTCAGGCCTTGCCAGGACCCGATTTCAAAGACAACCTCTCCCATGCCCATTACCAAAAAGCCCGTCTCGATCTCGAGTTGGCCTAAACAGAGATGCGATATGCCAGACGATGATCACAAAAAACGCCGATGTATGTGGATTCCAACCCCGCGTCGGAAACCGGTTCCAGGCGTTGATCATCCGCTCCTCCAAATCGAAGCGTGTAAAAAAACCTCAAAATCCTCGTACTGGAAAACCCCTAGGTCAACTCATGCGGAGGCACGGCGAGGGTGAGGTGCCAAGCTCCCCATGTTGAAGCCTTGCACCTGCAAAACATATCGAGACTCCTCAGGGGGCTGATGCAAAACAAACGTGAGTACAAAAGCAACAAACGACATCGCAGAAGGTATCCGTTGCAGGGAAAGTGAAAACAAGGCAGAAAATGCCAGCAGAATACATGCGCCAAGCCTCCGTGTCCTTCTCACTAGGACAGAAAGCTATGCAATGCGCTTGTATGCCGGTCATAGAGAGTCCACAACGCCAATGGAAACAAGAAAGCAAAAAGACTGCAAAGCGTGGGTTGGAAAAGCAACCAGTTTCAGCCAAGGAGCACAGAAACCAGAGCGGCGCGCATGGGAGGCTCCAGAGGATTCACTCAATTTCCATGCGCGCCGCGATGTCCTCGCTCATGCCACGCACAGGGCTCTTGCGACGTTGGTCGTCGTCATCCTCCATCATCTCGTCGTCCTCCTCGAGGTCGTACCCGTCGTCTTCAAACTCGTCATCGAAGCGCGAGTAGTCATCGAAGTCACCGTTTCGGCCGCGGTTCCACATAAGCCCATCGTCGGCAAAATCATCATCGGACGCTTCCAGACGGTCGGCATACTTATCGCCCAGCCAGAAACGGGCGCGTTTGTTCGCACCTTCAGCATCAAGAGGCGACAAGAGATCATCGTCGCCATCCAGACCTCGACGTTTGGCAGAAGCAGAGACGATGCCACCTGTGGCGGTGCCCCTCGGGTGCAAGCGAGGACTGTGGCTCATCACAGGGACGCCGCGGACATAGAGGTAAGCGACACGCTTCAGGTTCTTGTTGAAGAAGAAGTAGTGAAGCGCCCAGATCGCGCCCTCCTCTTCGTCGAAGGGGTCATCTGACGGCTGCCAGGAGAAGACATTGCAATCCTTAAGAGTCATCTCCTTATCGATCATGGCCCACATCTGCGGACCCCAACAAGGCGCCGTGGCGGAAGCCGCCGTGACGCTCACAGCGCCCGAGGAGCCGAAGCTGCGAGATATAGAACCGTCGAATGAGAGCGGATTGGGCCTTACGTTTCCTAGAGTACTGTCAATATTCGCCATGACTTTGCCCAGATTCCGCTCTCTCTTAAAATCGGTAGGCCGCAGGTTATGCGAGAAGTCGTAGTCGGAGTGTGAAGCATTCAAAGTCGCAATGAGGTAAGCAAACGTGCGACGACTAGAGATCTCGGCGAGGTTGCCAAACGGGCTAGAGCGCGACAGATTGAGACTGGCGGCCATCTCTTCGCGCTGCGGAGGGCTCAGACTGGCGCCAAACTTGAGCAGAGCGGCATGCTGTGATTCGAGCGACTTGTCAATATTCTTGTACAGTTTCTTGTCCGAGCCGGCAGCTTTGGTCGTGTAGAGGTCGCAACCACCAGTAACGTGACAGTCTGGCGTATCGAAGTTGAGAGCGCTCGTGACGATGTCGAAGTCGCGAAGTGGTAGAAACTATGACGATGAATATTAATGACAACTCTCAATTGCGTAGTTCAGATGCGGCTGCACTCTGCGCAGCCGAATGACGTGGTCAATGGCTTACCTTCATCTTGGCGGTGTTGGCGGGCTACTGAAGCCAAAAAAAGTCGGAGATGATGTAAAATTGGCAGACAAAAGGCAACGATGAAAGCGATGCGACTGGTATAGTGCAGAAGTGCGATAGAAGCGGTATCGCAAGGTTGATGCGCGATGCGCCGCGGGTCGGCCGAAGCTGATTGCCCGCGCTGGAGCAGATGGCGGATGACGTCCTAGAACCGTCGCCGGTCGGAGCGAGAATGAACTGAAATATGTAGCGATCGATGTCTGGTAATGCGTCTCAAGTCGTATCTTCCAGAAAGAGGAAGGATGCTGGTAAGAGTCGCACAAGCTGGAGGCCTTGGAAAAGAGAGTTCGATCGCTGGGATGAGGAACTACAACTAGACGACCTGATGGCGTCTAGCAAGCAATCAAGGCAGCAGACATATCGTGGATTCGAGGATTCGTGATTGTGGAGATGACTGATTAGGTGGTGTTGTTGAGGATTGAAGTAAAGAAGGACAAGAGGGCAGAAGCACCTAAGTATGAAGCAGAACGCGGGATGCGATTGCGTTCGGGGGGATGCGACGACGTGGATGGATGACCGGTCGGAAGGTTGCGGCAGCGGGGATCATCTGCCTGAGTGGTACGAAGCGGGTTAGTCAGTTGGTAGGGGGGGCCATGGGGGAATGGTGCTGTTTTGGCGTGGTCTCTTTGGAGCAGCAGCCGGGCTTGGCTGCTAGAGGAGAGGGACCAAGTCATTGTCTGACCAAGTTTCCCAGACATACTAGCACCACTCCGCCAGACAATCCAACGGCCAGGCCGCACCATACCTGCGGTCTTTGTCATAGCCGTCCGCGCAACTTCAGCCCGTTGTCCGCTCCCTTCGCAATGAGCGAACCACCCGATCCGGGCCCTCCTCCACGCAAACACGCCGGTGCGTCTGCGTGCTGCGTCGAGTCGCCAGCATTGGCGCGGGGGGGGCACTGACCCGGACATGACTGGCACACTCTCTCCACCCGAACTCACGCCAACAGTTCCCCACTCTTATCATCAGTACATCTCCAGCTGGGACGATAGCGCAATCCCGCAGAGGAGGAGGTGTGGCAGTAGAGGAGAGATAGCCGAGCTTAGGTACCTAGGCCGTTAGTGATCAGACGAACGCGCCATGACGAATGGGATGCCATCAAAACACCACGAGTAGCTGTCGCGCACCGTGGGCAAACGCAGCGGAAACTTGAGCTTGCAATCGGAAACTCATCACCAAACATGCGAAACGGGTATCCGTGTGAGGATCATCAGTGATTGTTCATTTCGTGCATCGATTCGTCTTGGCGATTCTTCTTGACTCGCTCTGCCCCTGCCAAAGCGACACGACTCGCTGTCTGCTCGTCTTGGCCCGGCGAGAGTCGATATCGTGGTATCTCAACTAGAACGTGCATAGCACCCATTTCATACAAAAGAAGAGGTTGTTTTCCACCTCCAAATGGGACAAATATGCCATAGCAATGTCAGCATCTCTTGCCGTTTCCTCTTCCCGATGCTCACCCTGCTGCGCTCTGCCGCGGACGTTTGGCACCGGGTGCCCTCCTCCGAGACCGTCACATTATCCCCGACGTCTTGAGTGCGTTCCGTATGTCTTCCGATTCCTGTAATCCCGCGAGATCGTGTTAGCCGTTGTGTCACGGACACGGCGAGGTCATCGCTCGCGCTCCGGCTACACGAGAAAGAGCTCGTTCGGCCTGTAGGTAGTGGAGGGGCACGGATGTCTGTCTTGATACATGGTATCTCTACATGATCTTTGTGACTTCGTCCTCAACCTGGGTGCAAGGGTAGTCACGTCAGCGATGAGAGGGCCATGGATACCAACAGGGTCAAGAAATTTCATCAGGAAGAGGAGAGGACGCAAAGTCATGTAGACAAACAACACGGGAGAACGATTTGTTTGTCGGGCAGTTGCCGCACCACTCACCTCCATATCCTCGAGCGAATCTTGCTGTGAGATGCACCGCAACACGTTCTTCTTGCTGCTCTCTTGCAATTCGCCGGCCAGGAGTAGCTCGTCAAGGATGTAATATGCCTTCGTAAAGGAGAAGATGATGTCTAGCTCGCAGACATTGCCGTAGTATTTGTCCATCTGCTCGACGTAACGATGGATGATCTCGAGGGTGATGAGCTCATTATCGTCAGAGGCACAGCCTGCGATGAAGAAGAGCGACGCATATCGTCGATACACTATCTTGGTGTCTGGGACATGGCACATCCGTCAGCAAACGATTCCGCCATAGGGTTACCATCCGCCCAGTACGTCAGGGGCAAGTGACCTCACCTTTGTATTCCAGGAAGTTGCACATCCGAGTGCGGCGTGCCAGGACGAGCTGCGTCACATCCTTGACAATCTTGGCCTTCTCCTTAGGGGAGAGAGTGGTGAACCATTTCGCAAGGCGCTGTCACACGTGTATTAGGCGATTGCACTCTGGGATGCTAGAGCATGCGGTAGGCGGTCACTTACGACCTTGCCCTGACGAGAGAGCAGGATTAGGTAGCTGGTTCGGGAGCGTTAGTTGACCGAGAAGCTGTGGTGAGGCGCAGAGCGAGCTTGCATACTTGATAGGCATGGTGGACAGTCACATCCCCCGATGCGATGCGGAAGGGGAGAGACGGCTGGTGGTTTGGCAATGAGGTTTCGTTGTCAAATTTCTTGATGCTTGCGAGGGACATGTGGGGGGAGGACAAGAAGCCAGCATGGTCGGCCACGAACGAACCAGAGACGGTAGCGCCCTGCAGGTAGTGTGACACCCCCTCTGGACCTGGTTAGTCCAGTAGGCCCAATCGCGGAACTCTAGGGATTGGAGATCACTCGTCAAAGCTGGAGATCATAGTGGGGGTTTCCAGCCTGTGATCGGGATTCTCTCTCTTTCCCTACTTATCAATGATAGCAGCATTACATCGGTTTACTCGGCCTGAGGTCTGGCCGTGATGGAGATATCCGAGTCTTGTCTTCTGCCCGCAGTCGTGCTCTAAGAGGTACCTACTAGGTAGACTACCTACAGGTTCGGGTGCTCAAGCAGTATCGTTCCGAAACCAGGCGGCGCACATAGCTTCTGCATCTCCGAAAGCCTCGATTTAGTGACTTTTAGCCCGTCGAGCCCTCAAGCCGCGGGCAAAAACAGAAACCCAGACCTGGAGCACCCCCCGGAACGATCTGCCGATCTTGTGTCCAACACCACGGTCATGTCAAGGCTTTTACTACTACATCAAAGTATAGGCTGTATCTCTTCTATTCTGCAGACTTTGCAAACTACCTTGGAAAACTCTTCTCTTTCACCTTGAACATGTGTGTTTGAACTTGCGTGCTGAGCCCTCCAATATCACTCTGATTAAGGCTGCAACCTCCTCTTCCTTCGGATAAGGGTCCAGACATGGTCAATTAATAATAATCTCTGCTTCCCGAACCCCACCCCGCCCTACTCTCGTCGCGGACTGCGAGCGGCAACAAAAAGCGGTTGGCCCCCAGTCTTCGTCCCTCGGCGAATTCTGTGTGATATCAATCGAGAGAGAGCAGACGCAAAGGCCAGGCTCTCCTCCTGACATCGTGCACAATGACGCAACTCGTTTTGTCGACGGGGTAAGCGCATCTCGAGCCCCTCCGGCTCTGCTCACATGCTTGCGCTCGCGCGCACGGATGCGATGGTTACTAATTTTCTTTTTTCCCCCTCACCAGGAACATCGTCTCCGGCGGCCCCTCGATTATCCGCAAGCCAGGCGCATACCGGTCCAATCTCGAGCTTACAAACTCCCTCCGGAGTAACTTCCTCGCCGCCCAGCAGGACTATGCCGAAGCCATCACCAACGGCAATGGCAACGGCAACGGCCACTCGGCCGGCGAGGAGCAGCGATCCCGGCGCACTCCCATCTCGATCTGGACGGAGAGGGACGCCTCCGGCGCACTCTACATCCCCCGTATAGACTGGGGAGCAGCCGGCTTGCAGGAGGAAGCGACACAGTACGACATCACCGTCAAGCTTTTCTTCCTGCCCAACACCCCCGTGGCCGAACGGGCGCAATACGCCAAGACCGCGCTGGATCTCGTGCTCAAGGAACTGAGGGTACCGAGTGTCGACCTGCTCATTGTCTCCTTCCCTGGCATGTCCTTCGACGGCGACTGCGAGTGGGAAGCCGACAAGATGAACTCGGCACAGGGGAATGATCAAGAGGAGGCCGCTACCTGGCAGATCTTGGAGGACCTACACAAACAAGGCCTCGTCAAGAGGCTCGGAATTGCCGAGTTTGGTAGCGAGAAGCTGTCGCGCTTCCTCAAGACGGTCTCGATCCGCCCCGAAGTCGACCAGATCAACATCAAAGATTGCTGCAATGTGCCCCCTCCTTTGACCAAACTGGCCAAGGAGCAGGGTATTGAGTTGCTCGTGCACAGCGACTGCACCGACGTTCTTCCCAAGGGCACTCTTCGAGAGCTTCTGGGCCAAGGTTTCCAGGGCGCTGGTGTTCTCGCCGACACTCTGGTTGATCAGGAAGACGATGCTGCCCATGACGGACTAAAGGGTGATCTGTTGCCGGAATGGGTCATCAAGTACACTGCAGTCGTCCGTGATCGGGGCGTCATCGAGAACAAGGGCTACTTTGCAGGGGCGGCTCTTCTCAGTTCTTGATGAGCCTCCTTGAGATTCCTCGCTGTGAGCATGGAGATGCCGTGAGAGGCGCATCCCACATTTCAGATACCACATACTTGCATATTTCGGATTCGTTTAGTGGAGGCGAGCGTTTGCATTTATTCTCTTTTGGATGCCATCAAACAAGCGGCTTCTTTGGGTATGACCACCATAATTGTCTACAAAAGTAGTGCTAGAACGAGAGAAGTGGACGAGAGCTGCTCTGCAGACGGCTATGCGTCGTGTCCCGTACCCAGAATATCATAGAGATCATCCCAGCATACTCCTCTTGCGCCCTCTCATCCTGACCTCTTCGAGCTTCTTCAGCACGGGGCCCGTCTGCTTGAAGGACTCCTTGTACGCCTGCAGTACTTCGTCGAACAGGCTCTCCGCCCTGGGATGCGTGCTGCCGAATGCCCTCTCAAGTACGTAGAGGTCGACAGCTCTGTCCTCGTCAGACGTGCTCTGGCTGGCCAGGCCGAAATCGATCACCCAGATCTCTCCGTCCAATATCTTCTTCCCCGCATCTCCATTCGCCCCCGCCGAGCTCTGCGGCAGCGGCTTGAGCATCATGTTACTCGTCGTCAGGTCGCCATGCACCACGCCGACTTTGTGAATCGCACCCACGGCCCGCCCGACCCGGCGCATCAGCCCCGCCAGCTCCTCCGGATCCCGGCCCTCCTCCGCCTCGAGACTTTCTGAGCTGCCCTCTCGCTCGCCGCTCTCATCCGCGTCTTGTCCTGTAGCCGGCGTCGTCTTCTCCTCGCCCTCGTCCACGGTGCCTTCCCGCGGGGCATCAGCACCCCTCTTCCTCTTGCCGCCGCTGCTGCTGCCGGCCCCCCGCGCCGCCGGCGGGCCCAGCCACTCGTTGACGGCGGCGCGCACGGGCCGGCCCTCGATCCACTCCATCATCATCCACCCGGCCGCCTCGTCGACGGCGTAGACGGCCGGGACGCGCACGCCCTCGCGGCGGCAGCGCGCGAGCACGCGCGCCTCGGCGAGGATGCGCTGGCGCGTCAGGCGGGCGTCGAGGACCGGGTGGCGGTAGGGCTTGGAGGGGCGGTGCTTGAGCGCGCAGGGCGTGCCGGGCGCCAGGAAGGTCGTGCGGTAGAGGCGGCCCTCGGCGCCCTGGGTGATGAGCTCGGGGCTGCTGGCGGAGGGGTAGGTGAGGATCTTGGGGAGGGGGAAGGGCGTCGCCGCCGCTGCCGGGTCCGTGGTGGCGGGGCTGGTCAGGCTCGCGGTCGCCATTGTGGCGGGTTCGTTGGATGCGATGTCCTTTTCAGAGCTTGTGTTGTCCGGTCTGGGGTGTCAGGCGGGTTGCGATAGTGGGACCCCAGATCTACTCCAGACTCGAGAATGGCGTCACGATGTGCTTCAATCCAAACTCCGAGGTGCGATGCGATATGCTTGGGATTTTTTCGAGGCGGGGTAACTAGATTGCAGCAGCCCATCGATAAGCTCGTCGTGGATCCGTGGATGGCAGCCCACCCGTGGATACGCTGTCTGTTAGTGAGGGTATCTGATTCGACAGGACGCAACACAGCTCACACTGGCCCCCTAACGGCGCAGGAACGGGTGCTGCCGTCGGGGGCGCATGAGTTGGGAGGGCATGCATCAGTGCATTGATGTTGGGCACTTGCAGCCAAAGAGGTCCCTCGCCCACGCACCCATCTCTTTCCCGTCCCTCTGGGTTTTCCCCAAGCCAAGGACTGAACGAACGAACACCTCCATCAACCTGCATTCTGCACTTTCCACGTTACACATGCGGTGGACTGCGAGGATCTCAGGATCTCCGGTTCACATCTCTCGAGTTCGTCCGTCGCTAGGTAAATCCCATCCCGGACAAATAGTGTCCAACATGGAATTTACCCAGCCCCCGAGCCCCCCCTACCCCTCGCCCAACATGTGACGCTTGAGCTGCAGCTACAGGGGTGTCGCACACTGCTCGGCGGGCTAGCGGCCAATGGACACGCCTGAAAGCGCGGTGAGAGGAGACGCTCAGTGGAGCAGACGATGGCCGAGTCGGGAAGTCGCCAGCATCTGGCAGCGGGTGGGAGTGATTGACACTGCATCACATCAGCCCGCCGCTTGTTGAGCATGTAGTCTATATGCATGTGCTTTCCACTTCTTCCGCCCGCTCCTTTCCCTGTTTGTCGTCATCCAACTCCTCTTCTTTCGACTGTGCTTTCCCTGCTCGATATCCCGTCTCCAGAGCCCTTACAAGACCCAAAAAATACGTGAGAGAATGCCCCCAAGGAAGAGACGTCTATGATCGCCGCACCGCCATGTCCAGCTCGTCGACCCACCAGTGGACCATCATCCTCGTCTTGACCGCCATTCTGCTGTCCCTCGTGGTGACCTTCCAGGTGCTCTCCAAATACGGCGCTGCCTACTTTGCGGCGCCCAAGGAGATCTCGACTTTTATTGACTCGATCGACTCTTCAATACAGGAGAACGAGAGCTATGACAGCGATGTCGCCAAGGTGCCCCGCCTCGAGGAGAAGCTCCGCCTGAGCCGTCTGCTACGGGAGATACAGAAAGGCGGCGACGACTTGCGAGAGTGCCTCAACGGCCTGCTGCTGTCAGAGGAGGACACACGCCCCAAGATGAGCGCGAGGATACTGTGGGCGTCCAAGAGGGCCGATCTTGAAGAGAGGTTACGCAGACTCGATCTGCTGCGCATGCGCTTCCTCGTCATCTACATGAGCATTGTCGCGGCCACCACCACCGCGGCTGCCGAGAAGGTCGAGAAGAGCGCATCGCCCAAGGACCCGGAGAAGGCAGCGCACCACCCTCCCGCGAGGCAACACTCAATGCCTGCGGGACTGATGGAGGGCATCAAGCGCAAACCGCCTCTGCGCAGGCTCACGACGCAGGCCATGGGTCATCACGACTCTTCTGAAGGAGGCCACCGCAGGGGTTGGGCTGGCGTGGTCCAGGAGCTGCAGATGTCGCCTCTCATGCACAAGCGGCATGCCTCCATCGAGATGGCCATGGCTCAGCCGCCACAGACGCCCTGACGACTCTGCATTCTCGCGATTGTATTTCTCTAGCGTCTTCCATTTTCCGGCCCGTTCAACTTGCATTGCCCGAGCAGTCCCATCGCTGCTCGGCTACCACTTGCCAACCCTCCAAGGCAGGTTATAGACCTTGCGAAGAGGATTACACTTCAGCATCGCCGGCCATTAAGACTCGGTCACGGAGTTACGAGACACAAAACTGAGTTTGACGAGTTTGACGAATTGTATCATGAAACATGTCGGTGTCCCTTTACGGAGCCTCGGCAGGCAAGAGAAGCGATGAGTTTATGATGAAAAACATGAAAACGAAAAACACCACGAGCAGTTTATTTACTTTTTCCCGGCATGGTGGGCCATGGTCACTTCACAGATACCCCCGTTCAGCATCCCGATTGCTTCATAGTTCTGTTGCTATAACACTTCACTTACATTCCCAACCCATGTCTTTATGAGCACTTGTGGCAGTTGATAAGAATCCAACTGTTACTATACACAGTATGATATGCAAGGATCTCGATGTGAACTTAATCCGAAATTTGTGGTGGTTTGACAAAACCCCGTGAACTGGTGTACAGGTTAACTCGTTCCAGAGAGGTCCGGCATTATGTACTTTTTATTGGTCCTTATATCTGGTTTTTAAGAGTAAATGTATGCGTATGGTCATCAATGCTTGGCATCTGGCCCTGTGCCGTTCCTCTCGCCAACTACAGCATGGTTAGAAGACCCTCAGAAGATAAGGGATGGAATGGCTTACCATCCAGAGCGACCAAGAACCTGCTCACACAGTTGTAGCAAGCAACCTAGCCCAAGTCGTCAGCCGAATTCCAGGTCAAGCAGAAAGAAAGAAAAAAAAAAAAAAGGTACCTACCGTAGCCGTGAGCTCCACCACCTCCCTCTCGTCAAAGTGCTCCCGCACGGCCGCAAACGTCTCATCCCTGACCTGGACGTTCCTCGTCATCTCGTCGCAGTACACGAGCGCCGCCCACTGCCGCGCCGTCAGGCCGCCCGCCCCGGGCCTGCCGGACACGGTCAGCGGCTCCGCGGCCTTGACAGCCTCCATGTCGGCGTCGGCGACGCCCGCGGCCACGGCGAGCGGCGCGTGGTGCGCCCACTCGTACCAGGCGCGGTTGACGACGGCGACGCGCGAGATGGCGAGCTCGCGGACGTCGGCGGCCAGGGCGGTGCGCGTGCGCACGGCGCCCAGGAAGGAGTTCCAGCCGTCGGCGACGGGCGGGGAGTGCAGCAGCGTCAGGTCCAGGGGCTGCAGGGGCCGCGGGGCGCGGCGGGCCTGGATGCGCTCGACGATGGCGGCCTCGTCCGGGGTGGCGGGCGCGGGCGGGTTGGGCGCGTAGGGGAGGCGCATCTTGGCGGGCGTGGAGGTGGTGAGGGCGCGGGTGAGTGTGAGGGTTGATGGTCTGGTGTGTGGTGTGCGCAGGAGGTGTGAGATGGAGCGGCGGGTGAGCATGCCCTTGTTCTCGTTTGAGAAGAGTTATGAAATGTAGGAGTACGTTGTTTTCTTCGAGCACGGGCGGTTGAAGTTTGAGTGTTAACTTCATGCACTTTTGCTCCATCTTTTTCCCGATCTTCGGAAGGTCGGGGCTCGTACGGCAGTTCGATGCGGGGGCGGGCGTGTGCCGTGGGCTGGGCCCGTGGAGCGGAGCTTACAGCGTGGGCGGCAGAGAGTATTCCCGGCGGTCCACTTCGAAGGTTAAACGCTCAACCAAGCATTGAGGCGCAAATTGGAAAGTCTCTTGGGTTTCGCAACTTGCAAGGACGGAACATGCTCTGAATTCAAAATTTGACAGGCTCTCACAGTTATGAGTTGCTCTGGCGAGTGTTTGAAATATGCATGGGTGAGAACCATCGCGGCCCAGTTGCTATTGTGCCTCGGTTGGATACAAGAATTCTTCCTCGCTCACTATCACACTCCATGGGCTGAAGAGCCAAGAATATTTGCCTATGGCCAGTATACTCTCCATGGGAAGCCGGTTGGATTTCCGAGGACCACGACATAGCTATCCTACTTGCAGTACTCAGGTAGACCCTCTGCAGATGTTAGGCAGCATGTGCCGCGATCTCCAGTCAGAGCGCATTGCTGTCTACAGAACTGAATGAGAGATCTGTACTCGTCTCGATCAACAGGTCGGTGTTTGATGTGTGGCCATATTGTCTCGATTATCTCTGTATCTTCAATCATTGACATTGCTATATATTGAGAACACGTCGAATGTGTGTGAAAGCATATTTGAAATAAGGAAGAAGCACTCTCAGGCAGAATTGAAAGTCTCCCTAACATGCAGCCTCCATGGGATGTTCTCCCATCGGCTCCCGCGCCTGGCGAAATTTTGACACTCAAGCCAAGTGTACTTCTGACGGAGGATAATCATCAGGAGATCCCCGTTGCTGCCGATGCATAATCCTTTTTCTGCAAATTGGAAGGGTTATCCCACTACCTACACTCAACGGCCTCGATGAATAGTCAAAGACTTATGTTAAAGGCTATCCTACTACCTAAGACTGATGGACTTGATGAAGAGGCAAGTGCTTCCAATGAAATGAAGAAGAAATTCTCTTATTCAAGGGTCCTCGGGATGGATCTCGTGGCGATATTGAATCATCACACCAAACAAACATGCTTGGCCACATGGAGTTTACCATCAAAAATCCAAGTCTGAGCTCAGTGAAAGACTGCGGTTGGAAGTTCGGGTTTATTGTACCTGGCAAGGCACTCGAGTCACTCTCAAGTCTTCCTTCGGAAGATTTGTTCTCAGTCAACGATCAATCCTCGATAGTGTCCCCTTGATAACAGCCCCCGGAGACTTGAAATGTATCTCACCTCACCCTCAGGTTCAGAGTCGCAAGATAAAATTCTTGTCCCTCTCCTTCTATAGCTAAGACGTGCAGACCACCCCTCAAACCCTTATATTTGAAGGTAAGTGCCCTTGTTATCACCAACCTAACCATCATGGTCTAGTTGGGAGGGGCAACACCAACTACGGTCGGTTGGAACCCCCCATGTTTTTTTCTTTTTCTTCTTCTCTCAGCAAGAGATACAAACTGACTTATCGCAAGCCCATTCTCGCTTGGCAGATGGTGCTCAGAGCGAGGTGTCAAGCCTGAGAAGCATGGCATAATCTATGATGACGGCAGCGGTGGCACGAGGTCACTCAAAGGGAGTCGAGTTTAGGGCTTGATCCTGTCAAGATGATTTCAACTATGCAAGACGAGCGACTGGCAAAGGAACCACACATCAACTATTCCAGGCCAGTGTCTATTGAACACAATGCTCAATATGTTTATTAGAGTCAATGGATGGTCACCTAAGTAGTCATCTTGAGAAGTGACCTTTATAAGGACCGACAACATGTATAGTGTCTTGATGTAAGACACTCTGATGCTATTATAGGCCTACCTGTCTATTTTGAGTCTGAAAGAATGGTTGCGGATAAAAAAGTGGGACGTAAGACTCATGTCCCTTCTAGGTTCCCGGGCTCAGTTTCAATCAACAAGTACGAAGGCCTATAGGGCAGACTGTGACAAAACCTATTTTCTCTCTAACCAGAACCTACCTATATAATTAAAAATCAACTATATATATAGTCTATAGAACTTTATAATAATTAAACTAATTAGATACTAGGGCTTAGACCTATACTACTATATAAATATAAATATTCTTATAATTATTAGCTTAAATTCTTCTTTTCTTCTCTATATCTTTTTCTAATATATTTAATCTATCTTCTTATTACTTATTATTCTTTTATTATTATAAATATTATTATATCTCTAGTATTAATTATATATAATTCTTTTATAAATTTAAAGTAAAATAATATTATTTTAGTTTAATTTAATTTAGAAATAAGCTATATAATAATATTTAATAATTATAGTCTTTTATATATATAATTAAAGATAATTAAATAATATTTAATATTTTTCTAAGCTTAAGATAAAAATATATTATATAATTATATAGAGTTAATTATATCTATATAGATATTCTATATCTCTTATAATTATTTTAAATATTATAAGAATATTTAATTATCTATAGATTTAATTATAACTAATATTAGGCCACATAGCCATACTTATTGATATATGCTGCTGCACATAGATCTAGATTGATAACTGCTGATAGCAGCTGCTAACAACTATCAGAAGTTATAGGTCATTATCATCTATATATAGCTTAGCATACAAACCTTTAGTTGTAGTTGGAATCCAACCACATTCATACCACTGCATCCAGTCCTATCCTTACCCATCAAATTAGTAGTAAGAAGTGTTCTTGTCTGGCACAAGCCAGCAAGGAAGATCAACCTCCTTTTACTTCTATTCTGTTCTTCTTATAAAATTTCCTCCTCCCCCTACATCGTCCTGAGAGATCCTTACTCTTTAGATACTGTTAAGTGTCATCGTTTTTTGATGATAATAGACATAACAGTAGCAGCAATAACAACAGCTACTTATATCAGACAAACTATTGCTATAAATTAATAATTTTATTTATATAAATCACTTAGTCCCCTATATGAAATATATATGGAAGAAGCCAGACCTCCTTCAGCTTGTTATGAGATATTATGCCGGTGTCCCTAAGGCAATATAATAATCAGTAGCTAAGGAAGATCTACTATATGATTCTTAATAGATTGTTAACAACCACCTATTTACACACAACCTAAAACAAGCGATTATATATCTCTATAGATATCAAGAAGAATTAATCCTATTGCTCAACCTATAATACCAGCAATCTGCTTAAAATCCTGCTTAAATTAAGACAGGCATACCTATAGAACTAGATGACTATATATTGATGTTAATAACTATAGTTAAACGACCTAGATAAAGCGAGAACTCCTAGGCTGCACATAAACTTTCTAAAGCCCTACATACTAGCTAGTAAGCCTATACGCCTGCTGAACCTTTATTATTACGCCAGGCTAGCTGCCAACCTTCATCTTTAGGCCTGACTCTTGACTAAGGTTAGCTATAAGCAGAAAACCTTATATATACTAAGGAACCTACCCCTTTCCTTATATCCTCTAAAACCCTTATATCTTAATAATAAGAGAAGTAGTCTGAATGCCTCTATCTAAAGCTATCTGCTCTACCTAGCTCTTTTCTATTACTAAACCTCTATACTGATTATATATTAGTATTAGAGTTAGACCTCTTTTTAGTATGAGATATTATGGCTAATAGCTTAACTATATAGAATTTAGTTAGTAGTAATAACATCCTATTAAATAGGGACCAGCTAGTATTAAATAATAACCTTATTATAATTATAGCTAAAGCTGTTGTAGAGGCGCTAATATATATTAATATGACTGCTTAGGCATAAGCTTTAGTTATTGTTTAAGCAGCAGAAGTAAATGCTGTATAAAGATTTAATGCTTGTCACGAAACCAGCCGCAGTTACCGCGGGGCACCGCCCCAGACGGGCCGCAGGACTGGCCGGCAGAAAACCACACACCGCCTGCCCGAAACGGCGTGCTAACCAGTGCTCAGTTAGCAGCAGTTA